ATATAATCCTCGGCGTCGACATATCGAGTGACGTGCAGTTTCGTGGTCACCTGGAAGAGAAGGCCAAATTGGCCGCCTGCAACTTTACAAGGCGCAGGTTCGGCCGCACTTGGAATACTGTTCCCATCTCTGGGCTGGGGCTCCCCAGTACCAGCTCCTTCCACTTGACCGCATCCAGCGCAGAGCAGCTCGAATCGTCGACGACCGAGTGCTTTCCGATCGGCTCGATTCACTGGCACTGCGAAGAGATGTTGCATCTCTTTGCATTTTCTTTCGCATATACCACGAGGAGTGCTCTGAGGAATTGTTCGTATTAATCCCAGCTGCCAAATTTCGTGAACGCACTACGCGGCAAACGTCCCGATACCATCCACACCATCTGGATGCTTGGCGGTCCACCACTGTACGTTTCGAAAGGAGTTTTCTTCCGCGTACGACCTCTCTGTGGAATAGTTTACAACCGGCGATTTTTCCGGACCGATACGACCTGGGGACCTTCAAGAAAAGAGCTTACTCCTTTCTAAAGGACCGGCAACGCACCTGCAATTCCCCTGGTGTTGCGGTTGATCATGGGCGGCGGTAGTCACTTAACATCAGGTGAGCCGCATGCTCGTTTACCCCCTCTTCTAAAAAAAAAAGAGTAATATTTCTAAAATTCTTATGCCATAAGTCTTCCAGCAGCAATTCGTTATCGTAACGCACGCGTTCCGTAAACATATCAAAAGTATTGAGTTAGTAAATGGGTAAGGCTTAAATTTTTTGCGCAGTCGCACAATGGAAATTGACGACAACGGAATGTCTCACAAAGAAAAAACGTCGTACAACGGAATTTGTAAAGTGTAGTGCACATGGATTGTAAAATATTTTTTGTACATTAACTGTTTGTTTTATTTTTATTTATAAATCAATATTAATAATTAAGTATACTTACGTCACTACTAACGGGTAACGGCTACCTAGAATATACCCCCCGAAATAGTGAGGGAGATCAAATACATAGTCTTAGGCCAATACGATTGCATAGTGCGAGATGGCGGATCTGATCCTGTGATCCGGGGATACTCTGGACGTAAGTACTTAATTACCTACATGATTATTGGGGTATACTATTAAATAAAACTAATATAATATGCAAAAATCAAAAATATTTATTAAAAAAACAGTCTAGGTGAGATTATACAAGATGTCACTAACAGTGTCGTAAAATGTAATATATTGAGTTATATAATACTCTTAATTCTTAAAAATATATTTCGTCACAATCTTCAGTTAAACTGTACTCTCCTAATTTCTCAAGCACAGTTAATTTAACTTTTTTAACTATTGAAACGTTGGTAACAATGTCAAAATCTTTATTTTTCGGTATTTTTATGAATTTTATATTACAATCCTGTTCTTTAATTGTCTTTAGAAAATGAACTTTATAAAAAGTGTCATCATCTTTGATTTCAATCTTATCAATAAAGCCTACGTAATACTTCCAGCTCTTTCTTTGGTAGTATCTTACTAATATACTGTCACTTATATAGTTCAGGCACATCTTGTCTTTATCTTTAGAACTACATGAATCCTGATTAGCATGTATAGAGATATTTTCTTTCTCATTTTGAGAACACAAGTTAAAATTGGTACAGCCTATTGGGGTAAGCGTTAGTGGCCCGTAATTACTTAAGTTAAAATAAGCTTGATTTTCAGGTGCAAATCGTACCTCAGATAAAACTTTCAATTTATTGTTTCGGTTTGTCTCGCTCACTATTTGTCTCTATTTCTCCTATAGTCATCTCGTCATCAAAACTTGTGTAATCATAGTCATTATCGGCGTATTGAATCTCATTAGTATCAGTATCTTCAGAAGTTGTGTCTGATTCCTTATTTATCTTTCTAGCTCTTTTACTTGATTTTATCTCCTTATTTATCTTAGTTTTTTTTTTAGTTCTGGAGTCACTTTTCTTACAGGAAACTTATTGGTTTTTGTTCATAATTATGATCTTTAGGGGGAAAAACAATCACAGGCTCCTCTTGCGCAAAAACAACTCAATGGTCTATACTTGAATAGAATAGAATATTGATTTATTTGCATTGAATGTATTGACACATATATTTGCATTGATATGTATTCACAGAAAAGGTGTTGACAGAGTACATAAAAGATCCGTACATTGTACCATTTTGGCATGCAAATATTAAATTAAAATTTATTTTTATACTACAGTAATTAATAATTAATAGAATTAATATTATAATTATGATTATAAATAGTTATTACATTATTATGATTAAAATTATTGCATTGTTATTATTATTACATTTTATAGATGTTTGAATTATTATTGCAGGTAGCTTATTACATTATAAATTATTAATACTAACAAATTATACAAACAATTAATTAACTGAACGTTATTTTATATGGGTATCATCTAAGAAGTCCGATACTGAGTAATAGCACCTTTGCAATAACAAAGAAGTAAGACTCCTTTTAAATGTTCTTATCGGTTGTTTTTTTACAAAATTAGGAATTTTATTATAAATGACTGGTGCAATGCCCATAACCCTTTTTTTTAATAAAGCTGTTTGAAATCTTCCTGTGTACAATAAGTCTTTATATTTCGTTCTCGTAGGTATAGTTCGTACTCGAGTTTCATTTAATGTAGGAAATGTAGGAAATAAATGATGATTAATTTTGACAAATAACGCTACTTCAAGAATATATAGACACGGAAAAGTTAATAATTTATGAGCTTTAAAAATGGGCACACAATTATCGGTAGTCTTTAAATTAAAGATTGCTCTTAAACAGCGCTTTTGGGCTTTGAAAATGATTTCTCTATCGCCACAGTTGCCCCAAAATATAATACCAAATCTTAAAATGGAAACCACCAGACCATAGTAAGCGACTAATGCCGTTGTGATATTGACCTTTTTTGTCAGGTATAGAGTGCATAAGAAGACACACTTAGTTTCTTACAGACATCATCTGCTTGGGCCTTCCATGTCAATTGGCTTCCATGTCTATTAAAATACCTAAAAATTTTGCGACATCTACTCTTTCTATTGTTTGACTATTATAATTTATATTTAGTTCTTCAGTGCGAAGTTTCTGGTAAAAGTGCATTATTTTAGTTTTTTGAATATTTATAAGTAAATTATTATAATTCAGCCAGTTAATTATAGTTTCAATCGAAGTGTTTGTATCATTTTCATAAAAATCTTTATTTAGACAATTTATTAGAGATGTACTGTCGTCGGCAAATAATACCATTGGATGATGGATTTGACGTGGGAGGTCGTTTATATAAAGAAAAAATAACAATGACCCAAGGATGCTTCCCTGCGGTACGTCGAATTTTATTTCTCTATAGGAAGATACATATTTGCATTCACGTTTAGATTTAATGCATGTTCTAGTAATCTCTGTACATTGTTTACGGCCAATCAGATATGATTTTATTAAGTTGCGAATGTTACCTCGAATGACGTATACGTTAAGTTTCTGTAATAGTATTTCATGGTATACATAATCAAAGGCTTTCGACATGTCTGTACATATAGCACATATGGGGGTTCGGGTATCTAAATTAGACATTACCATCTTTAATAAGTTAAAAACAGCCATATTTATGCTTTTGTTTTTTCGGAACCCATTTTGTTCATCGCAGAGAATGTTAAATTTAGCCAAAAATGCGTAAATTGATTCGTAAATAACTTTTTCCATTATTTTAGAAAACACGGGTAGCAAAGCAATTGGTCGGTAGTTAGACATGTCTTCTTTGTTGTTCTTTTTATGAAGTAGTTTTACTATAACCGTTTTCAGCTTTTCGGGAAATATTCCCACTAATATGCTTAGATTAACAATATGGCTAAGAGGTCCAGATATGCTTTTGCAAACAGATTTAATAACCTGCGTTGAAATGCCATCATAACCAAAACTTTTTATTTTTTAAAGTTTTTATTACTCGTATTATATGTTGTGGTATAATCGGTGATATAAATATCGAGTGTGGGTTATAATTAATTTTTTTGATGTCATCTGATACGTTTTTTGGTATATCTGTGATCTTGTCGATAAAAAAATTGTTGAATGATTCAGTTATTTCTTTAGGGTTCGTTATTAATAAATCATCTTTTTTATCTGAGAAATAGGTTCCATAATTGTTTTTCTATTATTTATTATTTGCCAAGATGTCTTGGATTTATTTCTGGAGTTTTGAATGAGATGGTTATTTTGAGTTTTCTGAGCCAGTTTAATAATTTTTTTGAATCTTCGAGAATATGTATAGAAATTGTTTTTATTTTCACATGTCTGTTTTAATCTCTTTTGCCACAATAAATGGCGCTGCCTTTTGCTACAAATCCGAATACCACGTGACACCCATTTAATTGATTTTTCAGAGCGTACGATAATCGACTTGAAAGGAAAACTTAAATTATATAATAAAGATAAGATTTTATTTGTCTTAATTTATTATCTTTTATTTTTAGAATCTGAGCTGTATGGTCTGATAAGGCTAAGTCTATTGTTTCGCGTTTGCACTTTTGTTTCAAGATATGAGCAAAATTGTCTAAGCAGGTATTGTTGTCCAATCTTGTAGGTTGGTTAATTTCGAATTTAAGGTTGTAGCTTAAAAGAAAGCATTCAAATTCTGTTGCTAATCTGTTCCTTTTCATATATTACAGGTTCTAAATGGCCCCATATGGCCTAAGGGTCGTGCTTAAGTGACGGGGAAACAGTACAAAAAGATATAGGTTTTTCTTTTCTTACATACGCAACTCCAGTATGCAAAGTAATTTGTTGCCTTGAGCCTGCAAAGTGCATAAACTGCACTTCTTCAGCCATCTTACACGAATAATTTTCTGTCAAAAAAAATCGCAGTGTATGATAATTTCATTGTCCTTTATATTTTCTATGGCTTCTTTGTATTGCTTGTGCTGGTGATAAATATTAAAATGATGACATTTAAATTTCACAAGATCTTTTTGAATCACATCGACAAGTGTATTTAATGTACCCATTTTTTCTTCTTGTACAGTTTTCTTTGTAGTTTTGCGTGTATTGGATTTTCCATACTCATAATTTTTAGTGGTCCTTTCAAGCTAAGATACTTCTTAAGTATCTGCTGCATAAGCAAAGCTAAGTTTATTTCCATACCACACTGTACATTCTGAATACATGCAGCTTTTTGATTTAACATCGCAAACTATTTCAGAAACCAAGTCATTTGGATCAGCAGACGATATTAAGCCTAACTTCTTCAGAGTTCGAGTTTTGAAAGTAAATTAGCATGCTTGATATAAGCACACGTGTTGCGATTACTTACATGCGGAGATACTACGTAAAATGGACGATAGCGCTTGAATCAAGCAAAAGACAAAACTCCACCTTCACTTCTGTATATCTTATACAAGTTCGATAAAGTATTTAACAAAAATCGTTTCTATTTTTTAATCTTGTGACGAGTGACACATTCTCTTTTACCAGCTGTCTTACGACTAATGTCTCTTTCAAAGAATTTTGTAAGTTCTTTAGCTGTCCTGATTTTTTTTTCTGCTTAATAGAATAATAATGGCGTATACCTCTCTCGACTCACTGACAAGAAGTTTCTTTAAAACGTTTTTTTCTTCGTTTGATTTACTGTCATTATAGGTTTCCTTTAAAGACTCTTCTAGAACACGAGTTTCTAATAATTTCTTCCTTATCTGAAAGCATGAAATAAAATAAGGTTAGGTGTAAAATGACATTAAAAGGTAATAATTGATAACTTAGTTATTATATAATTTAGTCAATAGGTTTTTGGAATATTATATTTTTATTGTTTAATTAATTTTATTATTTTTTTGTTTCCTGATTGGTAATGAATGGCTAATTATAAAAGTTTTACCTTCTGTTTAGATTCAGATATATGTATTTTCTTAAAGGAGTAGTAGGGGATTTTGTAGGTTCGACTGTATTTTCTGTTTTAAGTTGATTCAATTGGTTGGCGAGAGTATTAATTTTTTTTCTGTATCTTAATATAGTTTTCTTAAGACTGCTATTTGTCACACATAAGTTTTTATTTTTTTCCTTCAAAATCCTGTTTTCACGTAGTAATTTACTACGATATTTGCGACGCTACCCATTATCATTATTTGATACGACTAGCTTTTCTACCTTTTCCTCTTTTTTATTGCGTTTAGCATCTCGCCATTGCTTTCTAATCGCCAATTTTTCATATTCATTCATATTCACTATTTTTCTTTTTTTAGCCTTTGTTCTCTCAGCATTCTTTTTTTTTTCATTAAAACATATTTTTCTGGATTAGATTGTTTAAGGTTTCGCGGCACCTTCGGCACCTTTCCGCCGCGGACAAAGGCAACTGAAAAATATTGATTATCAAACAATTGAAAAAAAAATACGCAAGCACTTTAGTATGATTTCATAAATTGAGTAGAACGTTGATAGGAACACACCTTTACGATTTCTATTGTGACACGTCACACAATTTCGTGTCACACGTCGCACAACGGATCTAAAATTCTACACAACTTAGCCTAAAATATCATAATTCATGATATTTACTAGATTGCTAATTCTAATTGCTATATTTTGACAATTAAATACGTGATAGATATGATTTACTATCTTAATTCAGGAAAATCATTTAAATTTCGAAAATATAACAAAGTAAACTTACAATTTCTTAATGACACGTAGCGAGTTCCGACACGATCGTCCATCTGACCAGGGTTGCCAACTACTAGCTTTACCTAGTAGCTAGACATTTTCAAAATGTTGCTAGATTTCCAGTTTTTTTTACCCTAAAAATTTGCTAGAAGTTGCTAAATGTTACAGTAGATAAGTAGGTTACAATAAAATGCCAGTTTCTGATAATCATTTTTATTAATTCCAACGAGTAGTTAAATTAAGTCCTGTGTACGCAATTGAATAAAAAATAAATTAATTAATCAATTAAAGAAGAAGATGTCGACGGCTGGGGTTCAGTATCTTTCATTGATTTCGAATATTTTTCAATTTTCAATCATTTTATGCAGTACGTCTTTAGGCAAAACACAGTTATAGCAGCATTGACCACTTTTCCTGAGGGAGTCTCTAATGCAGAGGAATGAGTTCAGAGTTTTCAAACGCATTCTGTTTCTTTGCTTATTTTTAACTAAATTCATTTGAGAGAATAACCTTTCTACCTCTGCATTAGAATGTGGCAGTGAAAGGCAAGTTAAATCAAGAGTACTTATGTCTTGATATATGTTGTCACCGGAAGAATTTCTAATTTTTTTTACTTCGACCCAAAACTGAACTATTTCTTCAGAATGCCACTTATTATATATGTAGAATGTGCTACTGTTGCATTATCTTGTCTATTGTTTCTAGTGTAAATCCCAAAATTTCATCAACGTCGATGATAGTGTTTAATTTGATTGGTTTTATTGCCTCCTCTGGACTTAGCAACGCCATTGATTCTAGCTGCTTGTAGTTGTCTGGAAGCCTTTGTTGCAATTCCTTAAGTAATTGCAGTAAGAAGGTGGAGCAGCGTTGTCGTATTGCATTTAAAATTTCGGAGTCTAAATTATGTTGAGCAGTTTCAAACATGTAGCCAAGATAAGGCCTAGGGTTAATATCCCTGTCAGCTATTGGATCTAATAAGTTTCTGTTTACAGGTCTTGGTATTAAAATTCTCTGGCTCACGGATTCTATCAGTGAGTGTATTGAGAAAGTATAGTAGTGAGTGTATTGAGAAGTTTTAATGGATTAGAGTTTTCACTTTCAAATGATTTAATTGCTGTTTGAACATCATTTAAAACGCTTCTCAGAAACACAAAATATAAATAATTTCTTTTGTCTTCGAGCATGTTGTAAATAAGCTCAGCTGAGTAGCAATTGTCTTTCACTCTTGCTAAATTAAAGTTTATTTTCAATTCTTCCAATTGTGTCACAATTTTTGTTATCGCTGGCTCTATTGAAAGCCAACGTATATCGCACACCTTGTTGATTTTCAATGGACTTTCGCCATAGTTTATAAGTTAGTATATTTTTGTGTATTCGTCTCGCCGCTTAGGAGACACAGAAAACCATTTCTAAATTTCACTAACCAAAAACTCTTAATTTCTTGGCAGAGTATTTTCGGAGGCATGGGTCACTGCTAACTGTAACGAGTGGCAGACACATCGTATCAGTATCAAATTTTCTATACCATATTCTCTTTTTAGGATTGCATGAACCCCGTTATTAATGCCTGTCATACCAGATGCATTACCAGTTCCAATTCCAATCATTTGTTTGATATCTAGGTTGTAATTCTCTAAGCATGATACCAAGCCATTAACGATTCCCCTAGCATCTGCACTTCCAATAGAAACTAGTTCCAGGAATATGCTTACTATCCTTTCCTGTGCGGCACTATAATACCTAATTACAAGACCAAGGTGTTTACTGACACTGACGTCTGTGGACTCATCCATTATAATACTGAACTTTTGGTATCCAATATCATCTAAGAGCTCCTTGCGAAAGTGCCGCATCAGCACATTTTTTCATTATTTCTGTACATTTAGTGTGATGCAATTTAAGCTCCTGTCTTTGAAACACATTTTGCATAATTCACTTAATATAGAACAGTGCTCGGCAATAAATAAAGTCAACGCGCCTTCGGATTCATCGCAAGGTCTAAATAAATGGTCTTTTGGTACAACTTTGAAAATAATTTCTTTATTGCCTGTAAAGACAAAATTAATATACATAAGGACCCTAGACGCAAAATATTATTTGACCCTAAAAAATTAGTAAAATGAAAACTATCTAACTCATTTTCCCATCGATAGAGTCTGATATCAACAAAACGAATTTTAAATTCATTCACGTACCTGTTTTGAACTCTACTTTCTGTTTATGCTTTTTGGTCTCAGCATGCTTCTTTATATCAAACAGTTTAGCAAGAATCTCCGTAGAACAATATGTACAAAATGCTTTGCTTGAGTCTCCTCTTGCCAATTTTAGCCAACCTTTAAATTCATCCATATTTTACTCCGGTCTGTATTTTTGTGCGTAGGTTTTTTTTTCAAAGGTAAATCCATTTTTAAATTAAATTAAATTAGTTTTATATGGATAAAATAAAATAACACAAGGTAAAGTACGAATAGCGCGTACTATTTTAGTTTACTAAGTATTCTGTCGCAGAGGAAACGGGGAATTCCCTGCCAGCGTCGACCTGTACTTACCGTAGCATCTGTGACCATAGATTTTTTTTCTTTCGACTCGGCACACTACTCGACGAATTTCGATAGACTCACGTCTCATGATGAAATGAAAAGTTGCTAGAAAAAGTAGCTAAAAAGTTTAGCTACAAGTTTTATTAAACTGTAGCTGTCTGTCACCAAATAATAGCTAGATCTAGCTATAAAGTTGCTAAGTTGGCATCACTGCATCTGACGCAAAAACAAAATGGCGGAAGCATCCAGAAGTTAGTCGCATTTCGTGGGCCTATGTTGCCACTTTAAATATATTGATATACCGTAGTAGAATGTAAATAAATCCCAAATTTCCGCGTTGCACAACTGAAGTGTCACACTGTATTGAAATTTAAGACATTTTGAAATATAAAAAAACGCGTTGATAATATAATTAGCTTATTTTAGTAAAATTAAGCCTTTTATATTTTGCAAGCCATAAAATATGCAGACTAACAAACAGCGGTTTCTCAAAAATTTCGAATGGTTTTTGAAAACTGTACGTACACGGACATCCACAAATTGTATGGAAGAAAAATATGAACTTTTTTATTTTTAATTATAAAATAAGGATATTATGGAATAATATTTAAATAAAAAAACAAACATGATGAGAAAATAGCAAATTTCCTTGAGTTAGTAATAAAAATAGTTTTATTTTTTGATATTTTATTTCTTCTCTTCAATTTCTTGGACAGCGCATTTTTACATAGTGCGCGAAAAATTTGAGCCTTACCCAAATACAAGTTATTCGGGAAATAAAATTTAATAAAATGTAGTAATGCATTCACGTAATTTTTAAATACTAGTCTCGTGGAGTAGCAAAAAAATTTCGAAGCCGCCACATATATGTACGCACTGCCAGCCACAAAAAAGTTTTTACTTCGTCTTTGCAACCCTTTAGCGATTAAAAATCACTAAAAAATCTACAACAGACTCAAAAAGAAAGCTATGTATTGAAGCAAATACGTCTGCGACGAATCGTGCTCAAAAAGTTAGCACAAAAGTTTCAATAAAAAATAAACTTATGTTCAGTTGTTTTATGATCAAGTTCATGTAAAATTATAATACAATAGGACTTACCTGAATATAGAAACACGAAATTAAGCAACTAAACGTTGTAAATCACATGATTTTTGTAGAATTAAATCAAATATCACAACATATTTGCGATGAAAACTAACAAGTAATGACATGAACTGTCAAAAGAAAAGCAAGTTACTGTAAAATGGATAACAAATCCGACCGTATTAATTAGAGAATAAGAAACAATTTGATTTGGCGGTGCAGCCGTTTCTTGTATTTAAAAAAAAAAAACAAAAAAAGGGTCGAAATAATAAATTTTCTGAAAAAAAGAAGGGAACTTGAAAAAAAAACCGAAAAATGTCGAACTGAAGACAGGACACGAACCAGGGTATTTCGATTCCGTGACCGCCTGTTATCCCATTTGAGCTATTATAACCAATAGCATGCTGTCAAAATTTACCTTCTTATTCTAACGATGTTGTAGCAGTTTTTCATTGCCTGAAAACTCGGATAAAACGACATTTTCTAAAAGTGAATCCTAGCTAGATCGATTTATTGCCCCCGAAACTCCCTGAACACTAAATTTTATGGAAATTGTTGGAGCCGTTTCGGAGATTCCGATTATATATATATATATATATATATATTTTTTAAACTAGCTTGCCAGGCAGACGTTGTTCTGCTCTTTTCGATGACCCTTTGTCATGTTTTTTTTTATAGAATAGGGTGATAAACGAGCACACAGTCCACCTGATGGTAAGTAGTTGCTGCGGCCCGTAGACATCTACATCTATCCTCCATTAAAAATCAAAATGCAGATGCGTTGTCACCCGTGAGGACTGAGATGGAATGCCTCGTTTCCAGTAAAAAGGGTATCCGGTTCTCTACACTCACCATACGAAATACAGCAGCATTAAGCTACTATTTCACGCTGGTATTCTGTGAGAGCGTGGTCCTTCCCCGGTCGAGCCGACCCATTCGTGCTACAACTATACTACTAATATAACTGCAGCATGGCTCTACCACGTAAAAAATGAAAAATGTCCCATTAAAAATCCTTAAATTAGCAAAAAAATTCATTGTGGGTCACTCATGGGCAAAAAAACTATCCTATTTCTCAAGTTGGACCAAACTGCACACGGTGTGCAAATTTGATTAAAATCGGTTAAGTAGTTTAGGAGTCCATCGCGGACAAACAACGTGAGACGTAATTTATATCTTATGTTATTTGATTTTTAATTGTTATGTTATTTTTATATTATGATATAAATAATATTTATATCATAATATAAAAACAATACAGCATTACACACAAATGTTATACAATACCTTTTAACCTGAATAATAATTAATTTAACTTTTATTCGAAGGCTCTGCCTTGTTAGCCCCCGAACCGGGCGGTTTTGAGCTTGTATCATTACAGAGCGATGACCTCTGAGGAGGCTGGCGTGGATGGTAATGCTGGTATTGCCCGCCCTGATGTGGTTTCCTCTTCAATGTGGACGGGTCCCAGGAGTTTAAAGGATTGTTGAGGCATTAGACTTTTCGGGAACTTTTTTAAAACTCTTATAGTTTCTGAAAGATTTTTCCCAAACAGCAAACCATCTGATGCTTTACATTTTTCTAAACTGTTTTTAATACCTTTGTTGAGCCCTGGTAATATCACAGCTCTTCGGGTTTCTGACTCCATGTATTGAAGGTCACAAAGGAAACGGAGGCTATCACTTATTCTTTCAATTTCTTCTAAGTTATCATTATTAATGAGCAATGATTTTAGGGCGCTGTTTAAATAAAGCTATAATAAAACTAATTTGGTTCTGTTTCTCCTGAAGCCTCTCGTCTCTAGCTTTTGCACTAGCTGATAATGTTGCCAAGATTTCAGTGTTTAAGTTTGGTGCAGTAACATTACAGTTTTTAAGTGTAGGTATCTTTTAAGTAATTTTTCCTTTACTTATCTAATCCATTAGTAATAATGTAATTTCAAATGTTCTTGCAGAAAATTTGAGGGCATGCTCTCATTATTTTCTTCCTCACTTTATTTTATTAAAATGGGAGAAAAAATCTTTTAATAAAATGTTTTCGAGTGGAGTGCGAAAGATTTCCAGGGGTCGAACGTGACTCCGAGATATTTGGCCGATGTTTTCCAGGTATGGGGCGGCCGTATAAGGTGATGGTACCTTAGTCCTTTTCTCGGATGGTATGCTCGATGTTTTTGGGTGGGGTTCACTTGGATTCTTCATATGCGAAACCGTTCGCCTAGATCAGTGGTCGGCAAACTTTTAAGTGGCGGGCCACAAAGTTTAAGAAATTCTGCAGGAGGGCCAGAATTATAGAAAAAATGCATTTTGTGTTAACACTTTTAATCATAATATAAAAACATTACAGCATTACACACAAATGTTACACAATACCTTTTAACCTGAATAATAATTAATTTAACTTTTATTCGAAGGCTCTGCCTTGTTAGGAGTGTGAGACATTTGGAATTGTTTTTCATTTTCCATAATATTTTCGAAAACAGGTTCCAGTTGTGAAGAAGCAACTTTCAGCAGTGCGAAAAGCTGTTCATCAGTCAATCGGTTTCTGATTGAGTTTTTCCGCCATTTGTTAGTTGAAAAAGTCTGTTCGCACACATAAGACGACGCAAACATCGCCATAACTTTCTGGGCGTGAGCAATGATCTTTGGGAATTCAGCTTTCGGTAGTGGTCTATAATAATCTAGTTTTGTGGAATTCAAGAATAATTGCTTTAAATGGGTACTGCATTGCATTTCAATAATTTCCAACTGTAATTCAGCTGATACATTTTCCGGATCTGGCATCGAGAAAATATCTAGCGATGATTGAATGTTCTTAAAATCTTGTAACCTAGTTTCAAACTCTGTGTGAAGTTTTTTGAAGCCTTACTGAATTCTTGGTAGTTTGTTCTCACTCACTTGTGACATGGATTTTAAATGCGGAAAGTGAGTTGAATCGTTCTTCGCTATGCAGTTATAAAACAGAAAGCTGAGTTTTAAATGATTTCAGACAACCTCAAGTCTCATCTATAAAATGGTTCTTTTCTTGCAATTTCTTATTTAATTTGTTATAGTGCTCGAGCAAATCGGTAAAAATGCAAAATCGGTACGCAAATCTTTGTCTACGAAGATTTGGAATTCAGGCCATTTGTCTGTTTTATTCTTTAAGAAATCTAGTAATTCCTCTTTTAAATTCCAAACCCGTTCAAATGCATATCCACAACTTAACCATTTTACTTTCGTGTGGTAAAGAAGGTCAGAATAATCTGCGTCGACTTCAATCAGAAATTCTTGTAATTGTCGGTGTATCAAGCCCCGAGATCGAATCGTATTAATTAGTTTTAAAACCACATTAAATACATAGGTAATATCTATTGCAGCTTTACAAAGGGCGTCCTGGTGAATTATACAATGTAAAAATACAACATCGTAATTAGGATTCTGGTTCCGAAAAATACCCGAAAATCCCGCGTTTTTTCCAACCACATTTGGGGCTCTGCAAATAAACCAATCTGTAGTTATATTGCATAATCTTGAAATAGGCGCATTTAAATTTTGAAGACCTTCGGAAATTTCGTTATAAATTATTTGCCCTATCGTTTTTCCTTTTATCGAATGCAAACAAGTTAGCTCTTCAGTAATATTAACTTCGTCGTCAACGCCTCTGATGAAGATTAATAATTGAGCAGTGTCACATCTATCCGTACCTTCATCCATCGTCACGGAAAAATATTTAAAGTTTTCTATACGCTGTCTAAATTGAGTCGACAAGATCGTTGCCATGGCATCACTTCGCGTTGTTACTGTTTTTCGCGATAAGCTGACAGATTTCTTCTCTAACTCTTTAATTTTTTCTGGACATAAAATTTTACCCATACTCACCATACAATCTATAACAAATTCTCCTTCCGAGTATGGTATATTATTTTTAGCTATTTTATAAGCCACAACATATCCAGCCAGTGTCCAAGCCGTTTGAGCAGTGTTTTGCTTTATAAATATATTTCCGTTGAGCAGATATTGTTTTTTTTACATTTTCCGCATTTACCTATTTTTGTGCGTCATTCATCAAAGCATATTAGGTATTTGTTATTTATTGTTATATATATGTTTTGTGTTAAAATGACTGCTTCATAACAAATAAGACATATTGGCTTACCGTTGTATTTCGTAAAAAAGTATTTCCAAGCCAGATGACACTTGGAATCGACTTTTCGTTTTTTATACTCCATGTTCTAAAAAGGGCTGTTTATTTTTTTTTTTCAAAAAAATATGTATGTAGTTACGCGAACAAGCAAGAACAAGAGACAAAGTTAAAACAAAATTAACGTAAAACGTGCGGCTTGGTCAGTGACAGCTGGCGAATGGCGACTGAGTTCACTCACCCCGCCGCCCGCGCCTCGCTTTTCACCATGCTTTTAGCCCCGTATTGCGCTACACATGAACTACACAGCTATTTTAGCTTCACCTATAGGGGAAGTCTCCTATGTGTTCTGTGAAGTGGCGGACACCTAAGGTTTTCAGGAAATAAAATAAAAACCACTTCGAAAAATGTTATTTTATTTATTAATTAGTTAGGTCAACAAACTTTAAAATCAACATTCATTTACACAAATGCAACTTCTGCATAAATCATATTAAAAAACAAAAATGAAACTGGTGAAAAAAATGCAATTGCTGGAAGTGGCACCTAGTACCGGACGGACTTCGCTTCGAACCCCCAGCTCCGGACATTTTTAAAACATCCGGCATCATTTACATAAATGTAGTCGTCTAAACACTCAGGAATGTCTGCACATGCTTCATAAGCCCATCCATGGCAGCTGGGGCACATTTTCCAATCTTCGTCGTAGTCCTTGAGACACGACGCAAGTAGGTCTTCCAACTTCAGATATCTCAGTCAGTGACTGCTTTTTCTTAGCTTTAACCCCACTTTTTCCCTTGACTTTTACTCTTTTAGCTTGTATGCCCTTTTCTCACTTCTTCCTTTGACGCTCACATCTTTAGTTTGTTGCCCGTTTTCTTCGTTTGCTATTTTAAATTTAGTTATCACTAAGAAAAGTTTCTGCTTAGTGTTCTTTGTTCGTGCTCGAAGGTGTCTCTCTAAGAATCTTTGCCTGGAACGTCACTTCTCCACGGTTCGATGTTGACATCTTATCATGTAGAATGCTTTTTGGGATTTTGACGCGAGGAAGCTACTGTCAAACACAGTTCTTTGAACAAAATTTGATCTATCGCAGATTCTAAAATTTTTAGTTCCATGTTTCTTTCTTATTCTTCTCTTCTATTTCAGCCTTTCTCTGTTCTTTTGTTCTCCGAAATAACTTACAAAATTACTACAATAAGCACAGTTATTTACAAGAAAAAAAATTTATTCACTGTCCGGTGTTAAGGGACTACTTTGTGTCCGGTAGGATAGGACGGGGCTAGTTCAGCAATTTTTCACTTGAGCGGATATAGCTTCTCAATGATAAGTCTCAATGAGTTGTGAATGTGGCTTGATGGATTAGTAATTTATCCCTTAGCAATAGTGTCCATAGTAATTTTTTGTAACAAGTCCAATTTAAGAACTACAGCTGTTTAAAGGCAGAAAGTCAAGTACGCTTAATGTAACCCAATAGGTGAGGTAAGTTGAGCAAGGGTATGGGGCAAGTTAAGCACTAAAAATGTCTAACCAAACTATGGGTTCAATGATGACTAGAGATGAAGTAAAATATGTGTTTGACAATCAGCTCTTTATTTATAGTCTGATTGACAGAACAATACAACTTAAAGTAATTTTCTTTGAATAATTAACCAAATGAATCAACAAAACATTAACGTATCTTAAGATTAACTTCAGCATTAGATTCAGTCTTTCTGTTTAAAATCAGACTGAAATATCTTAAAAAAATATATTAATAAAATCTTAGCAGCTTAATCGTCGTTGTTGCTCTTGCGATTGACACAAACATAAGTAAGGAACACATTTTGTATGTGCCCATTACCTGCAAGCTTGACACTGGATCCAACTTTCTCCTGGTAAACTTTCAGCATAGCCTTTGCAACAAATCAGACAGGAATAATAATCATCATCACTTTCCTCATTTGACTGGAGTATTTTTACAGACATCCTTCTTCCTTTTCTTATCCACGTTTTTCTATGGCTTCTTAACTTTAATGTGGTTTTATTTTGCTGCTCAGAAGAGCAGCAAAATAAAACCACAACAAAGTGCTTTAGAAAGAGCGTTTTTTTCGGGAGCAAAGTGCTTTAGAAAAAGCGTTTTTTTTCGGGAGTATTCTGTTAGTATTGCAGCTTTCCTCTTTCTCCTGTTTAGCTGCTTTTCTGGGCCTGCTTTTGGGTATGGTCGTACAATTTCTGGGGAAAATCCTACTTGTATTAGGTCGATTGTCTCGTTTTCTTTGTTGCTTCGACCTGGTTCGGGTACAGCTTGGCTAGTGGAAGCAAAAGGAGTGGGATTAGGTACAGTGCTGGACATCACAGCTTGCTCAGAAGATCTTTTTCCGTATTTCCGGATTGTGTTTCTGGTTCAAGATGATCGGTTATAAATGATGGTGAAAACCCATCCTCACCAAAAATGTTTGTGTTATACGGGAACATGCCTGTCTTTCAGAAACCGTTAACAATATTTATACTTGTATGCAAACGGCAACAAATCAGCGACTATTTTCGGTATATCATAAATAGTAAGGGTTTTCTCCGGGTTATTTTGTAGCCATGCATCTTGAGCAGCAGCGCAATACTTTTTGAACGGTCCAAAGACTGACACATCCAACGGTTGTAATTTATGGCTACAACACGGTGACTAAAACAGCATTACAACTCCGTTCTCTTTGGCCAAAGTTAGTGTCTTCACGTTCAAGTGAGAGGAGTGATTATCCAACACTAACAAAACAGGGCTCCATGGACGGTTTCACATGTTTTATAAAATGTTGCATAAACTGATAGAATTCTTCGTCTGTAACCCATCCACTGGCATTGCCTGGTCCTATACATTCAGGGGGACCACCGTTAAGAAAGTGTGTCTTAAACTGTTTTCTCGGAAATACGAACATAGGAGGTACAGCATCTCCAAGAGCTGATACAGCAGTTACTACTGTCACGTTAGTCCCTCGTTCCCCAGAAGTCATTGCGCCGACGTTGCGCTTACCTTTGGCAGCTAAAATTTTATTTGGCTTCAGCACAGTGGATACTCCTGTATCATCTATATTCCAAATGTCTGACGCAGTAAATCCATATCTATCCATTACTTCCGCTAATTTCTCAAAATAAAAAACTAACATCCTGCGCATTAAATGATGTTACCCTACCAAGGGTCGGTGGGTTCTGGTTTTCGTATGGATAGCTCCGGATTTCGTTTTAAAAACATTGTAAGCCATTCTTTTCTGGCCATCTTATTTGCAGTCCAGCTGGGTGGAATTTTAAGACCAAATTTAGCAGCACATTCGTAGGCAAGGCGACGGACGTCTTTTGGAGAATATCCATAAAAGATTGATGCCATTTGTAGCAAGTATTTTTTCAAAAAGTCTTCCTGAGTAGGAGAAAATACTTGCTTCGGTGTTGCGTAGCCTATGGATGAATCACCACCTTCATTTAATTTCTTTAAAAATATTGTCAAGGTCATCCGTTTGATACCGAATTCTTTAGCGGCGGCATTAACACTTTTTCCTTCATCGTTTACAGCCTTTGCAGCCTTTTTAAAATCTTCAGTAGTGTAAAAACATCTTGGAGTCTTTCTTCCTCTTGTAAGTTCGCATCATAACAAAAAATAAAACATTTTGTTATTTTCGTCTCATTCTTTAGATTATAAACAATCCACGAATTTATCAAAGCTGATACGAATATAATTTCCATCACCACCTATCTGTACAATTTGAAACCCTTTTTTAGAGTACTGTACGGAGGACATTTGGTCACTATAGTCTATCCCCTTTTTGTAATTATTAAAACATAAAATGCATTCCGGTTTCTTTATATTTTCGTTTGTTCCTCTCTTTTTTTCCCCAGTATCTTTTATATTTATATCGTGATTCTTGCAGGTACTCAACATCAAAACAAGTCGCTTATCTACCCACTTTATTACTCTTATTCCTTGGCCATTAATCTAACCATAAATTTGTCCCTTTTTTAATTTGTAATTCACAACTTTTTCGGTAAACCTCTTCTATTGGATCTCATTGTACCACAAATAAAAGTTTACTTTCTAATTAGGGTATCATCTAGTCCTATTTTGTTTTATATTTGTTTCAATGACAATTTTATCAATAACTTCGTCTGTCAGAAATAGTCTGTAGAATTGGTCTGAATTTTTGATGTCAGAGACGACGAATAGCTTAATATTGCCGATGTATGCTTCAAATTGGGGTTTATCATATCGTTTATCGTTGTCATTCACCGTCATCGTCAGTATTGTTCGATAAAGTAGGCGGCTCATGGACCGATACGATGAATTTCTTCGTCTTCTGACGAAGCCTCTGCGAATCCGACGAATTGTCACTACTATGGACATAAGATGTATCAGAACTAGAATCATCGTACTCTTACTGCTGCACTGTAGTATCAATTCTAGGCGATGACGTTCCAGTTTCAGTCTGTCTAGTTATCTCGTCGTACTCTAGATGAAGTTTATCATTAACTGTAGATACAATTGTTTTTTTTTTTGTTCTTCTCTTGAATATGTTTTAAAGAAGGTGTATCAAGTAAATTTAGGAATTGGTCTTCGTTAAAATATGAATTAAGTGAAACTAAATTGGAAACTGATAAACTGTTATCGAAATTTCATCTTTCTTCTTGGGGAAATTAGTTTCGGAAAATCTAGGTATCTTTTTACTTTTTGGAGTTGAGAACAAGTCCTGAACGTCGGTACTGAAGTTTTGATTAGAGCAGCCTGGTTTTATTACAATATCTTCGAGAACTTTATTATTTATTTATTTACCATATCACAATAGCATTACAAGAAAAAAAACTATGCTAAAAAGTCGCATACAAAAAAGCACTAAGGTTTGTGCTGACGGGACCTGAGTCGACATTCTATTAAAGTATAATTTAGTAAATTAATTACGTTTGTAAGAAAAGAAAAAGAGAAAGCATTTACAGCTTAATAGGACCTGAGCAAACGCATAAACGCTGTTTTAAGTAGTACCATTATAAGTTATCCAAAAAGAACAATTTAAGTTTTTTTTTAATGTTTTTTATAGTTAATTTGTCGCGGATTTCTGGGGGTAGGTTGTTTATAAGTCTTGGAACAATATAACCTGCCGTTCGTTCCCCCGTATATGTTGTTTGCACGGCTCGTCTGCAGCTTGCGGCTGCTTACGGTGCGTGTACACACGGGGTGCTTGATTTCTAATATTAAGTCTTCATTAAAAGTGTTTTTTTAGTAGTAAATATTTGAATTGCGTATGAACTGGTAATATATTACAGTGCTTGAAGAGCATACTATCATCATTATGAAATTGACGTCGAATTTTGTCTGTTACAATGTTTTTAAGGATTCTTATCTGGAGGTTATATATTTTGTTCAAATAAGTATTATATGTACGACCATAGCTACCTAAACCATACTGTATATACGATTCTGTTAGAGAGTATAACCATCTTAACTGGGAACGGAATTCTGTTCTTCAGAATTGTTTCTTGAAGAATTGTCTTAATTTGCTACAAACATCCTCGATGTGGTTATGCGAAGTAAACTTATTATCGATCTGCATTCCGAGATATGTCTGGGTATTGACGAGATCTATAGAGGGGCAATTACATGTGTTTTTACAAGAGGAGTGAAGGCAACTATGATTGTGAGCAACTATGTGCGTTGGATAAAGTACACTTGATATAAGGAGACTTTATGTGTAACAGCTTGGTTTTGGTGGAGTCCAGAACCAATCCGGCGTCATGACACCATTTTGCAAGCATATTAAAGTCAGGTACATTATCGGGTCTTTATCGGCGACTAGCAAACATGTGTCATCTGCAAATTGGTAGCATGAACAGTGATTTATGTAAAAGCGCATGTCGTTTACATATGACAGAAAATGGAGGGGGCCAAGCACAGATCCCTGTGCTGTGCCTTCAGTTACAGTCACCGGGTCGCTGTGTGTGTCATTTATTCTCACAGAGAATTTCCTATTTTTAAGATAATTTGTACACCATCTCAGAAGAGGTCTCCGTATTCCACAATCGTCCAACTTAGTGATAATTTGTTTATGATCAAGAGTGTCGAATGCCCGTGAAAAGTCTATAAACAGGACGAGTACATGTTTTTTGTTATTAAGATACTCGTTAATTTCATCGTCTTCATCAAGAGATCATTTGTACCCTCCCAGCTTGAAAACCATACTGATTTTGATATATTACTTCGTGCGTATTGTAGAATTTATAAATTTGTTCACACACATACTTTTCTACTATTTTATCTATTGAAGATAATAAAGTGATTGGTCGATAGTTCAGGAAATCATCCCGTCTTCCGTTCTTGTATATTGGTCTAACACATCCTATCTTTAGTTCATCGGGATAAATGCCACTTCAACACTTGTATTGATTAGGTTGGCAGTGGCCGTGGCCCCTTCTGTGTCCATACATTTTATATCAGAAACCCCAATATTATCATAGCCTGGTGCCTTATTAGAGCTAAGTTTTTTGATTATTTTATTAACCTTGTCACGGGTTGCTTTTTGAGAGTATATACTAGAATTATTTGGCCGAGAATACTTACTGGGACTTAACAAATTCAAATTACAGGTTTGGATTATGTTTTTCACAGCCTTATCAAATCCTATCGCAAAGTTATTTACAATATCTTTGGTCGTCTGCCCTTCAAATGCTTTTAAAACTGCCGCATCCACTGACGATGTTACATGCCCAAGAATTTTGTTGATTATTTGATAAACTTTTCTTGTATTTTTGAAATTCTGTTGAATGTTTTTAATATAGTATCTATTTCGTTTCTTCTTTAATACTTTATGAACTTTATTTCTTATTGTATTGTATTCTAATCTTAATTTTGAATCGAGTGGATTTCGTTTCCAAGAACGGAACAGTTTGTTACGTTTTTCGCATAATCGATTGGCGTTATCATCGATCCATAGTAGTTTATATTGATTAGTAATATTATGTTTGTTAAACTTATGTTTAATAATGCTTTTTTAGCACTTTGAAAAGATCGTTTAATGAAGTTAAAGATCTCAACAGGTGATTTCGTAGTTTGTTTGAAGCCATTTAACGTTTTTTAATTCTTTGTAAAGGATATCATAATCAATGACTTGTTTAAAAACCTCCCGTGTGTCAACACTAACTGAATCGTCCATGCAAGCGAGCATGATTGCTCGGTGATCTGCCAGTGTAATGTCTAACGCTGCGGCGTACGGATTAAATGTGGGGAGACGTGCAAATATGTGGTCAATGCAGGACTTTATGGTAACATTTAGTTTTTTTTCTATCCTAGTGTAGTCAGATATTCCACACATTAATCCGTACTCGCTGAGCATTCTAGGTACGAGTCTTTCAGTGATGAGGCACTTTTCAGGTCAATATTTGTATCACCTATCAAGATTAGATTTCTTTTTACGTTAAACGTGGACATGCATTTGCTCAACTCCTTTACAAAAATATACCTATTTGTTTTTGGCGGTCTATATACTGCACACAAAACTATATCTTGATTTAAGTTTTATAGTACCTATTATGTTTTCAAAATGTTTTGGTTTGTTGTTGTATTACGGTGAATTTAAGGTGATTTTTAATGTATATAATAATGCCGCCCCCTCTTTTATTAGACCGTAGTAGTGTTATAGCCCGTCAAGTTATATAGATTTACAATATTATTGGAAATACCAGCCTCTGTTACGACTATTAGGCTTGGGTTGGGGGGGGGGGGGGGGGGGGGGGGGGGGGGGGGGGACCGGGGGGGGGGGTTTGTTTTTTTTTTTTTTTGGATTTTTTTTTTTTTTTTTTTTTTCTTTTTTAGGGGAGAGGGGGTTTTTTTTTTGTTAGGGGGTTTTAAAGTTTATTGTTTTTTTTTTTTGTGTTGAACTGCGCGGTGGGCGGTCACGGACTGGAGCCGCGTTCGTTGTTCCTCTTTTTTTGTGTGTTTGTTTACGCAGTTTCTCCGCGCGGGGGGGCCGCTTTGCATGTCTACAGGGAACGTGCAGTTATGAATGACTTGTTGTAATTTCGTAAAGTTTTTTTAATCATAGATCCTATATTAACGTGCATACAAGAAATATTTAAATGACAGTTGCTAGGTAGCTGTTTGAAAAACGAGTTTGTTGAAGTACAATTTTTTAATTGATTTATTTGTTCTGACATTCTATTACAACTGTTTTTAATTACGAAAGCTGTGATTTGAAAATGAGTGACTAATTTAGAATCACGGAGCTTTCCGGTTGTTTTGTAAGCGGTTAATGTCATAAATAGATCGGATATATAAGATTCTACTATTGCTAGTTTTTCGAACACATACTTTCCCATCTTTACACCATATGAATTGAAAAGATTTACCTAGTTGGGATTTTGCTGTATACAATAGTGTTTTATTCAATTTCGTAAGTGCTTATCTGAAGTATACACGGTTTTCGACGGAATCGTGGGGGATGTTGGGTACTAGAGCTCCAGCTGTGAGCGTTCTTCCTTTGCTGACTTCAATCCATCGGCAACGAATAGCTTTACTCTTCATTTCGACGTTAATCGGGCCAGGTTTATTTTTTGATCCGGTTAGTCGTGACGAGGATTGGATGTCATCTTTGTTTAATACGAGTTTAACAGCTATCATTTCTAGTACTTCTGGTATTTTTGTAGGTGTATCAGGTAAACCAGCTATTTCTAGAGTAGATGCTAGACTCTTTTGTTCGTAATTATTTATCTCTTGTTCCATCGCAGATACTCTCAGTTGTAGATTTTTATTTTTGTTGACTAGGTCTTGGTTTTTGGTCTCCAAATCCCTGATGGCACCATCCTGTGTTTTGATAGACTGCTCCATAGTAGAGATTTGATCACTCAAGAACTCCAGGGAGGCCTCGAGGTTGCGTATCTCCTCCTTAAAATTTTTTTTCATCTCGCGACCTATATATCTCGCGTGTGTCAATTCGTTTAGGTTGGACCCTACATCGGATTCATCATCTCCATCGTCGTCCTCTGGAATCATGAAAGAAGATCTTCTGGAAATATTTTGATTTCACAGCTCATCGATACCCGGAGAGTTGCGAAGCGTATTCAGCTGCTTGTTAAATAGTTTGGAACAGGTGGCATCAGCGTGAACTATCTTATCACATCTGCTACACTCTAGGCCTGAGGCTTTCTTTGTGATATTTTTCTTACACTAAGAATATTTTTTTAACACCATCGTGGGTAGAACTAAGATTTCCGTTAGCAAACAGTGCGACCTTTCGCTACGATGTCACGAGTCGACTCAACTGACTTACTTGGATAGTTTTATTTTGGTGTACTGATGTTGACGGCTTTGTTTGATTGTGAGGAGAAAAAATAGCATTTTCAAGTACTCTCATTGTTTGTCCTGTTGAAGGACTACTGAAAATAGTTGGACTTACAGTACTTCGGCGTATCAAAACTTCTCCAGTTTTTGGAATCCTTTTCCTGGGATTCTTCTTCAGTGTCACCTTTTACACCACTAGCTTCACTCATAGATAACATTAGTCTATATCGTACCATTCTCAAATAAGACAATATTCATATAAATAGCAAAACACTCTCGAGTTTAATTATTGCAAGGACAAAAGCGCGATGTCGTCACTCAATGCACATCACTCATTGACTGACCGATCAATCAAGTGCGATTATCAGGTGATCCGGTTTCAGGTCTTAGACCTGGTAAAAGCACTGCTAGATAAAAATTCCTTTTAGGCCGTGTCCGGTCCTATAGACCCGATGGAATTTTTTTCGTTTCTTATAGAAGCTTTTGACGTCTAAATAAGGGTGAAGATAGCTGTCTCATTCGTACGTTAGAAATTCTCATAACTAAACATTGCGACCTATGAGACAAAAACAGTTTTCTCCGGCCGCACGACGGGACAGCTACGCGTCAGGTACTTTCGACCTGATACCTTACTGAACGTGTTAAAGTAAATAAAACAAAAAATTGCTATATATATATATATATATATATATATATATATATATATATTTGTTTTAATGAGTTCGAAAAGTTTTTGACAAATTTGGCTTAGAAAATTAAAAATATATCGGATTACAAACGATTGACACAAATCTCACTCCTGTAATTAAGGCAAACTGGCTGGTTGCATTTTATACATGTTATTTTTACTTTTTTGTCACACTTTCGTAGACATAATCATGCAATGCAATGGATCTTGTTTGCTTCAATAATTTGCGAGGTGATTCTCCGGAAGTAGACTCTTATGGCATATTTAGAATAGCTCGTATATTTGAAGATAATTCGCGAGGTAAGTTTCCTGTTAAACGCCGCTTCACGTGGGTTTCCGCTAATTGTAAGCACAAAGTCTTCAAAAATTTACTTTCGAATAGTTTGGTAGGCACACGAGGACGTTTAGCTTCTATAAAAAGTATCATTGAATTGATGCCAGCTTGGTATAACATACCATAAAAGAAACGGAGAGGCCAGCGTCGAGAACCTCTTGCTGTGGAGTAGTTATGGATCATTTTATCAAACGTGTCGACCCCTCCCTTTGTTTTATTGAATCTTCGATTATGATACGTTTGTTTGGTTGAGAATCCAGTTCGTTCCTGTGCATCGACGACGGTAATATTACAGACTTATTAACTTTCGGAGTAAATGACACAAGAGTTTTTTCCCGATCGAATGCAAATTGAGAAGTCAGAGGTAACTTTGTCTTATTTGGTAAGAAAGATGGAGATATCTCACGCTTATTTTTACGGATAGTTCCAACAGAAGTGAGTCCATATTCCTTTAGTAATGTATCAGCCAGAGGAACAGAAGTAAACCAGTTGTAGGTGACATTTTGACCCGATCCTTTGACACTTTCTACCAATTTTGTTCATAATCAGCTGCAGTTTTTGCCTCCGTACCTTTACCAATATATGGCATACCTTTACCAATATATAATAGCATCAAACATATAATATGATTTAGAGTCACAAATTGCGACTACCTTTAACCCATATCTATGGGGTTTTGATGCAATATAAACTCGAAACGGGCATTTGCCTCGAAAACCTAAAAGTTGCTCGTCTACAGTGACCTAACTGTGTGATCCGTAGGAATCGACATGTTTTTATAAAAATGTTCCATATCTCACGAACTGGTGCAAACTGGTAGTTGTCACTTTTGTCACGAATGTCTTTATCATCGAATCTCAGGCATATGAGTAACAATCTAAAACGGCTTACTGACATAATTGACTTAGGTGTACAAGTCAAAGGTCTAAATGGAGACCATATATCAGTTACACTTTTCCGATTGTCCATGTTCACAGCACAAAAAAATAGCAGACCCAACAGTGCCTCCATTTCCATTGCATCGGTTTTGTGGGTAAAACGATTTTTATAATTAGAAGCACGTCGTTCTCCTGATTAGTATAAAGTATCACTAGCTCTAGAGATTTTGAAAACTATAATATGAAGTCTTCTTTTTCTGACTCAATATTGTATAATCTTGGTTGAATGTTTACAATGTTTCGCTGAGGCTTCTGCTGGAAGAAGGTGGCATCTCAGACCAGATGTATCCGTTCTTACCTCTGAAAAAAAAAGATTTATTTTAACGAGATGATAAAAAAATATAAAAATATAATAGTGTATTAGTGAATTTTTACACCTCATTTCGCTCTTCTGACCAACTTGAGCAAACTGAGGCTGCGTGTCTGGGACATATGTTCTGGCGATGGGAATAGCATACTGTAGAATATATGTCCCGGACAATATGCACACCTCTTTCTGGTCATTTGTGGCTGAATTTCAGATCGATTTTGCAGGATATCCGGACCAACGAAACGCTTTATGCGGTATCGGAGCGTTTTCGGGAGGGTGTTTATTGTGCTTCTGTATTTGATGTAATCATCAAAACGTTGATGCCAATGTTTTGTGGTATTATTTTCTGGACAACATCCTATTTGGCTGATTACATGATAATATTATCTACGATCAGCGTGAAAAAATTCTCTGAGGCCATCTGCAGCACATTCTTGCAACTGAATAGTTTTTTTTTCAGTCCGTCCACAACATCGCCTTTTATGATGTTGTAAAATTCAATAATTTCAGGCTTTTTCCGAGTTGAGTCAGAGTTTATGCCACTGTCACGGTGCATCGTTGACAACAGGAGAACGATTTTATTCTTTTTTGGACAGTAAGACACTAGGTCGTCAACTGATCAGGAATTTCAGATTTTATTTTTTTAATGGTTCCGACAATTAGTATAGTATATAGGATCTTTTAGTAATTCTTTGGCCAAAGAGACACTAGTGAACCAGTTGTCCACTGTGACGTTGCGGTTCGTTCCTGAAATTAGTTCTATCAGTTTCTTCACCAGAGAATTTGTTGAGGTGCTTACAAACATTGGTCCTCAAGGTTGCTTTCCAACATAAACCTCTATGTTGGATGTGTAAAAATTCCGGACATCTACCATAACAAATATTTTTATGCCATATTTGTCAGGCTTATTAGGCAAATACTGCCTAAATGAACATCTTCCTCGAAAAGGCTCCAGCATTTCGTTAATTGACGAAATGCTGGACCGACTGAAATGAACGACCGATACGACCTGGGGACCTTTAAGAAAAGAGCTTACTCCTTTCTAAAGGGTCGGCAACGCACCTGCAATTCCTCTGGTGTGCGGATGTTCATGGGCGGCGGTAGTCACTTAACATCAGGTGAACCGTATGCTTGGTTTCCCTCTCTTCTATATAAAAAAATTGTTACATATTCACCAGTGCTGCAACACTCTTTGCATTTCTGAACAATTGTTTCAAAGACAAACCTGATTGGTGCCAACTTATCTATTTGCAGTCTTTCTTGCCATGTTACAATGCTGTCTAACCTCAAACAGCGCAAGAGAAATATAAATCTCTGTCGTGACATTACCGCCCTGGTAATGTCTATACCGGTCCCATCCGCTGAGAAAACCTGTTTCGATTTTTACATGGAGGACTTTGTGTACCAATCAGGTATAATAACCCCAGTAATGCTCTTATTTCTGGTATGTTAGTCGGTTGCGCATCTCGTAACCTTTCATATTTGTCCTGAAGAGTCTGAATTTTTCCATTCGTAGATTGAGCAATATTATTCAGTACATCTATGAGAATAAATAAACTCCATACCTCCAAAGAGGTGTCGCAATCACGGCCTATATTTCGTGGTCCGGGAAATGCGATAATATTTTATGCTCTCGGGTTCTAACTGAGGGATTCAGAGCAGTTTTCTTTTCGTTCCAGTATTTCCACAGCTAGTTTCCAACGAACAACATTATGGTTCGATGTTTTTAGTTGGGCAAGCGGAACATTATCTTCATCATCATGGTCTGAATCTAGTATTTCAGGCAGTTCAGGATCCGATACCGTGAGATCGTTTGAGAACTTTCATCAATAACATCAGGTCCATAATCAGAATGCTCACCAGCTGATGTTTCATTGATCGGAACATCCACATTATCTTCGGACTCTTTTTCTAGCCATCGGGCTGTTCTTTAAAATGTTACATTTTCGGAGGTGTGCCGTAATGAGAAAAAGCTTACACGATCAGTTGCTTGGGGTCGATTACGTTAAACGATATAATAACAATATGCCGGCGACTGTTTTCACTTCCGCTTACGATCCGAGCGTCAAGACAACAGGCCTACTATTTATTTCAGATTGCCCTCATATACTACCAGCGTGGCAATGGCAATGGATCCGCCACTATATGGAATGATTGCCGCTGCTTCAACTCAGAAACTAATCCGTGTGTTTGCAACATGTTGTCTCCACTTCACTGGCTGTCGCGTGATGCTCCTTCCTTGCTTCGGCAAATCGAAGCAATCGAAGAACGTATCGACCACGAGGATTACGAGGGGCCAGCTGATCAGGAAGATGACACTATGGCGTTACTCGCTTACCTTCACGGCACATGTTTGGCTGTCCTCGGTGAACCACACCGGGCGATTCGAGAACTTGAAATCGTGCTCAGATTGAAGAACAAACTGGTTCAACACGTGTTCCTGGTCCCGCACGCTATGATTGAATTGGCTAAATGCTACAATGCCCTAGGAAACAATGAACGTTCTCAAAACATGCTGCATAATGGCTGGAAGCGTTTCTTCACCAACTCCCTGAAATCGCGCCTGCTTTCCAACATCTATAAAAAAATGGAAATGATCCAGAACGCTATGGCAGCCAATGGACTTCGCCGCGCTTTGAAATAATAAAAGAGATTAATCCTGCAAAGGTCTGTATAACGCGAGAGCCAAAAGTACACTGAATTTGCAGGTAGTGACGAATAAAATTACAATGAATATTACATACATAAAATGTTAGAATTAAAAAGCTATAACAATCTAAGGCGATTGATTGCTAATGAAATGCATCAGGCGTCAACATGCCCCCGGGCGTTGAAAGCACGTCTTTCAACCAGAAGGCACAGGGAGCGGACAAATCTTGCTGAACGATCGTCGAATTATTCCTGCAGACGTTTTGATATCTGCCACACGACTGATGTTGTCAGGTCCAGGATAAACAGCAACGACTCGCCCCAACTTCCATTTCATTGGAGGGAGATTGTCTTCTTACACGAGAACCAAAGAATTCAATTTCAAGTCATCATTGCTGACACGCCATTTCATTCGTTGTTGGAGTTCAGAAAGATACTCTTTACACCATCTAGTCCAAAAATGTTGGCGGAGTTGCTCAATTCGTTGAAAGCGGGTCAAAGAGTTAGTTTGATGACTTCTATAATCTCTGTCTGGTAAAGACGTGAGCGGTCGTCCGATCAAAAAGTGACCTGGTGTTAGTGGCATTAAATCTTCTGGATCGGATGATAATGGTGTGAGGCCGAGAGTTCAATATCGCTTCAATTTGCACCAGCGTAGTATTAAGCTCCTCGTAAGTGAGATTACAATTTCCCAGCACTCTTTGTAAATGAAACTTGGTCGATTTAACACCCGCCTCCCAGAGCCCACCGAAGTGTGGAGAATACGCAGGAATAAAATGGAAATTAATCCCATCATTACCCATTTTTTCGGATAGTAAATTGCAATTGGTTTTTAAAAACGTGGAAAGTTCATTGCACACGCCAACAAACGAGGTACCGTTGTTAGAGTAAATACTATTTGGTTTACCTCTTCGTAAGGTAGTATAAAACTATGGCTTGTTAAATCGCCAACCAATTCTAAGTGAATTGCTTTGGTTGCCAAACACACAAATATGGCTATGTACACCTTTACCAAACGACATCCGCGACCTTGGCGACTAGCAGATAACATAGGACCTGCATAGTCTACGCCTACATTTTCAGAGGGATAGCCTCCATGTGGTAGATTACCCATCAATGGCGCTACGACCTTACCTTTTATGCGACTACAAAGGACGCATTGATGGTAGCATCTCCTCGCCAGATTTCCACCACTAATTGGCCAATACGATTCTCTTATTGTAGCTAATAGTAATTGGGGTCCCGCGTGCATTAAATTTTTATGTTGGTAATCGAATAACAATTGAGTAAGACGATGTGTGGACTGTAATAAGGTAGGGTGTTTCTTATCATAAGAAAAGTTTGAATTGTTTATGCGAACTCCTACTTGCAAGATATTGTTTTTATCTATAAATACAGTGAACTTATGTAATGGACTTTTTTGGGCAAAGATAATCCCTTAAGAAGCATGCTATACTCTAGAAATGTCTCCCTTTGTACGTTCCTAATAATGTGGTTCAACGCGTCTTTCTTGACGCGTCGCAAACTGGCTTGCAGGAACTGAAGACTACAGAAGACGATTCTCAGTAGTGAATGGCGGGTTTTTTTGGGTGGGTCCTTTGGTTCTCCCCCCCCTTCTTTTTTTTTTTTTTTTTTTTGTTTTATTATTTTTTCATTGTGTCCTTGGGCGCTCCCTTTTTTAGGTTTTTTTGCCAACGTTCTTGAGTATAATGACGAAGGCTTGAAGTTGTAGTTTCCGAAAATTGTTGGTTGCGTGTTCAGATCACGTCGGGTGGTCACCAGTGTGGCCGCAGAAGGAAAAGGGGAGATCTCCCGCCGCGCAAGGTGTTCTGCGTGTGATAGTTCGGAGCTGTTCTATATATACTGTTTATGCTTCGGAATCTTGATAGCGCGATTTAGGCTTCGGTGTGTTTCGCTTGTGGCGCGACGACAGCGCCGCCACAATTCTTTTAATTAAATTTCTTCTAGCATTCCCTAACATTTATATAAGGATCACATTCTATATTATCCAATATGATTTAGAAGGTACGTCTAATGTAATAGAGCTTAAAGCCTGGGTTATTCCTCGTTCCATAGGTTGAAGCAAAGCCGTCGTGTCAGAAGGTAAATATGAAACTTTTATATTTGTTCAAGTTTCAATTAATTAATTCAAGTTCGCGAGGATGATCTGTTGCATTGTCATAAACTAGAACTGCTTTAAAAAGTCTGAATTCTTTTTAAATGAGTTTCAATTTCAGAAAAAAATTCCGGAACGTCACAAAAAAAAAAGCGTTTGTAACCTACGCTTTTTTATTAACACGTCAAAATTCTGGCAGGTCGTCCTTGTTTTGATTTTTTAAAGCACGAGGATTAAACGATCTGTAAAGCATCAGTGGTTTAATGACACAATCTCCAGATATATTAGAACATAGCAGCAGTGTAACTCTCTCTTTGGCTGCCTTAAATCCAAGGACAGACTTTTAGCTTTTAGAAATGAATGTTTTTTTGGCATTCTCTTCCAAAACAGTGCGGTTTCATCTGTATTAAATACTTTCTCAGGTTTGTTTGTTGTATTCTCCATAAACTACTAGGTTCGCAAATTCTTTTGGATATCTTTCTGCTGCAGCAGTGTTTGTAGATGGAGTTTCTCAAACGATTTTAACGCTATGCAATTATTGTTTGACCTTAAATTTATTGAACCAACCTTCCTATGCTTGAAATCCTCCATCTGTACATTAACCACCACATCGTACATTTTAACGAACCTAGTGGTACCAGGATCTTTGATTTTTACCGGACTATTGGACCACTCAGGGGCACCCTTTTTTGGTTCCCGTCTTCGATCCATAATGACAACGCCACTTCCATTTATTCTATTGCTGGATCACGAACAATTTTCGCTGACAGTAAAGTTGAAGCTACAGACGACCTTATTGTATCTTCGGATCTCGTTAACTTTGTAAGATTTCCCAGTCGCTTTTGCTGTTCTGATCAATGAAACATACTGATCTGGGCTGTATATTGGCTCAGATCTAAGTGATTTTTTAAATATTTCTCTCAATAACCGAGTGGGAACTTATGCGTTACTGTTTTAAGACTGGGAATCGTTGAGAATCGCTGTAAAAATATATATATTTACATCTTCATTTAGTTTCGCACACAGAGATGCAATATAATTATAAACACAGGTTGCAATTTCATTCGCGCATCTATTGCCTTGCTGTACGTGGTACGTCCCAAAAGTAACATTCTACATCTTTTGTTTTCAAATCATAGATGGTAAAGTTGTAAGAATTCAATTTTGATACGTAATAAAATGTTTGAATTTCGCCTTTTGGATATGACAATGTCACTTGTAAGTCATAAACTGCAACCATTAAATATGAATACCCGGATGACCGAGCTTTATTGAGTATTTTTTTGAAATTACATTTAGATACAAATTACATACTGATGAATAATATTTTTTGATCTTATTGACATAATAGAAAGAACTGAACTGGTTATTTGAATAAAAAATCATGAGTGCAATTAGTTTAATTAAAATTTTCGTATTTTTAAAAATATAAAAAAAGGACTCGAAATAATAGATTTTGTCACAAAAGAAGGGAACTTGAAAAAAAAAATGAAAAAAAAATCGGACCGAAGACAGAACGCGAACCAAGGCATAACGAAATCGCGACCGCTCGATATCCACTTGAGCTATTACGATCATTAACACAATGTCAAAATTTACCTTCTTATATTGTAGCAGTTTTTCATTGCCTGAAAACACGAACAAAAAGACATTTTCTAAAAATAAATCCTAGCTAGATCGATTTATTGCTCCCGAAACTCCCTGGACATTAAATTTTATGAAAATCGTTGGAGCCGTTTCCGAGATTCATTATATATATATATATATATATATATATATATATATATATATATATATATATATATATATATATGTATATATATATATATATATTACATACAGATGGTACAGTAACATTAATATACGCAATAATGCATATATAAGTGTACAAAAATTGTGTTCGCGACGGCCTAACAACGTTAAGAAACAAAGTTATAAAGAATATTGTTTTTGTATTAATAATGAAATTGCCGACAAAACTGGATGAAAACGTGTATTAATATAGTTGTGTAGCGTGTTTATAACTCTTAGTATATTTGTATAGTATGTCGTTTTGATAACAAGTAATGTAAACAACTTTTATTATATTAAGAAAAATCGACCAATCACAGCGCGTCTTATCGTGGAATTCTCTAAAAGTTTTTAATTAACTGCGTAATAGTTCATACTACAAATTATGAAAATAATTTTATGTTCTAGAAAAGTTGTAAATATGACATTGAATTAGCATATGGCTTATAGATTAAAGAAGTGTAGGAATATTTTGAATAATTAAACGCATTTCGTAATTATAGAAAAATCAAAGAATTAATGTACCCAAATACTATGAAAATTTGGGACATTTCGTTTAATAACTTTTTACAATGTTAATATTTTGAGTAACCTTTATGATATACTAATAAAGTGCCAGACTACCGATTTATTGATGTATAGCATGTTAGTGTAGCAATTAGTTTTGTATAGAAAATATTGTAATTTATGCCATTTGTATAGTGAAAACTTTATGCAATAAAGAGGCAAAACGGAAAATGACAAGCGGCTCACTGTAAAGTATTGCCAAAGTCTACCTTAGGGGCTCGGGACCCAGTACCCGTAGTAGTGTGAAGAACTACCAGTGACAAGTGAAGTGAAGTGAGTGGTATCCGGTGGTAGCTGAAGTGACTAGTAGCAGTATATAGTGAATAGTGAAAGTGTTAGCTAGCCGAAAAAGGTCGTAACTGATATTCGCAGTTACATAGTGAAAGTGTTAGCTAGCCTAAAAAGGTCGTAACTGATATTCGCAGTTACATATAGTGAAAGTGTTAGCTAGCCTAAAAAGGTCGTAACTGATATTCGCAGTTACATATAGTGAAAGTGTTAGCTAGCCTAAAAAAGGTCGTAACTGATATTCGCAGTTACATATAGTGAAAGTGTTAGCTAGCCTAAAAAGGTCGTAACTGATATTCGCAGTTACATATAGTGAAAGTGGTAACTGATATCCGCAGTTACACAAGTGATAAAATCAGCTAGTTTAGTTGATAATAGCTGCTAGTCAGTAGTGTTAGAAAACCAGCTACTACCAATAGATATTTGATACCACCGTACAATTTAAAGAAATCTTTTGAAATATACAGTGAACAACCGTAGTTCAACAACCGTGATCAATAAATAATAGTTATAAAATTTCGCGACTAATCAATCAGTCGAACCGCTGGCCACTACCTTGCTATTTGTATTTATTAATCGTGCATTTTGATTTGAACCTCAGTCCACTATATTTCAGCGGCAGCCACAAAGACGGCAGTGAAAGTACCCACCGGAACCTATAGGTGTAGGACGTGAGCGACTCGCGAATTATCTTCGACAACATTTACTCCGGAGAGTTTCGCCCGTCCGGCACAAATTGCTCGTTTAAAGGTATAGGATTTACTTTTTGGCACCTGTTTCATCGTGCCCTTTTTCTATTCGTGACAATTCTTTTTCCATCAGGTGGTTTTCATAACGATCTTTCATTTCTTCCTTCTCAGGGTCTAATGCATTAATATAGGCAATACACATCTTCACAAGCATTTTTCTTCGGGGTGAGAAAACTATATTAAATACTGTGTTTAAAATTCTATGCAACATTACGTAGTTAACATACCTCTCTCTTTTTTTGGTGTACAATCGAACATGATCCTTGTAAATTAAAAAGTAGGTTCCAAATGAATTTCTAGTGCTGCCTTTTAGCGAATCCTCAACCTGGTAATGATGTTCGTATGGGAAAGTGAAATAAAGGCAAATATAAGAAAATTTGCATAATGTATGTGTACTTTATAATTATTAAATTTCAGTGGAAAGTATTGCATTAGAAGAGGAGATTATTCTTGAAAATATTGAACCAGAGGAAGATGAAGAGGTAAATTTCGATCGAATCGATGAATTTACTAGCCATGTGTGACTCCAACTACAAGTATATATTTGTTGATGTCGGTTTCTATGGAACAATTCAGATTCAACTATACTTATTTGACAGAAGTCGATTGAGAAGTTATATTGAAGAAAATCGTTTAAATTATCCGCACGGGTTGGCGTTTGTACGAGAGTGTACAAAATGGTTGCCACGCTGCTATTCATGGCGATCTCGTTGCGCGTCCGCGACGTATTCGCTGCTTGCCCGCTCCGCCCTGAAGCCGCTCGTAAACCCCTAGTATTATAACACACTTAGTCCTGAGGGATGACAATGCATCTACGTTTTGAGTCTTAATCGGAGGATAAATGTGGATATTTATAGGCCACAGCATCCTCTTACCATTGGCTGGATTCCGTGGTGTTTGACCGTGACCATGACCGTGCTTGTTTCTCACCCTTATACTATATAATAAAATAATATGCTTAGCCATTTTTTAATGTTCCCTTTAGACAAAACTGATGAATGAAATTGAGTATTATTCTTACTTGCGAAGCCTCGCATTCTAGTTGCTACTGTTCTGCTAAACACTTGAGCCGCATGCTTGACTTTCATTTTGTTGGTTTTATCTGGGTTTATTATGTTCTCAGTCAGTTTCGTCACCATTCTTATACCTTCGAAAATGGGAGTTTTATCATGCAGTTTTGCAAATGCTCCCATTTAGCCATTTTTACTGAATTGTTCTGTTCAAACTTTAAATTATTTGTTAACAAATTGTTCCTCATGCCTTTTAAAAGGTGTGGGGGATATAGAGGTATAATTTCTTTGTCATCTATTAATATGACTTTTTCTTTGGGCTCTTCACCTCTTCTTAAATATATACCCCTGGTCTCTTCTTACAATAATTTTATAGCCTGGCGATTATTTGTTCCCTGGCCACATATGGGAGCTACTATAATAAATCCTGCTTCTTGTGATTTGTGCACTACCCTTATTAATTACTTTGCCAATTCGGGTCCTTTTGTTGCACCTTCAGAAAAAGTATAGGCACCAACTTGTTTAAAATTGTGTACTAAACCTCGGAGCATAAAAACTTGTGCATGGTTTGCAAATTAGGGTATTCTTTGTTGACCGTCATCCACAAACCCTGTTATGATATTTTTCCCCTCATTGTAGGTTAGACCAGGTTTGAGAGAAACTTCATCAAACAATATAATTGAAAGATTTTAATCATCAGTCATAGAATTTGCTTTTATTTTTAATTGCGCAAATAAGTTTGGATTGATGCGAGGATGTAAGTTTGTTTTTTTGCAAAACTTCGATTAATGTTTGTCGAGCAGGTAAAATAAAAAAAATTCTTAAGAATCTGTATCCCTTAGCACTTTGTTTCAATATTGACAAGCAATTAATTTTTTCTTGTAATGAAGAAATTTAAATTTCTTGCTATTTTCACGCCATTGTATTTGCATTAATATTTTATCTACTGTTGCACAATTTTCAATCTCATTTAAAATTTTAGATTTCGGCTGCAACTTTTTTTTATAAAGTTCGTATTCTCTGTTTCTGTCATAAATAATCGTTTTGTGTTTTTCAGCTGCAAACTTTTGACTGATTTTGCCTGGCTACTTTTTTATCTGGAAACTAAACAAAGTATCGGGTTTTTTTCTAAAAATAAGTTGTCTTTCTTTCTTTACACAGATAAAGATTTAACAACTTACAATTACGCATAATAAAATATGTAATTTAGGAGGAGACTTGTTTAAACTCAAGAATCTGGTCTAGAATAATTAATATATTCAGTTGAAATTGAAAGAGGTTAATAAAACTGGACTTTGGGGCGATGGAGTCGACGTCGTTGTCGTTAACCGATTGGGCCATGGCGTAATAAGCGCGGTTAATAGCATAATCTGATGAGCAGAAGGGCTGGCTCATTTTTTGCCCAAAGGATTTGCCCGGTTGTTCCGCGCAGAATTTGTGCCAGTATTCTTGCCATCATTCCATGCGGGCATGACTTGTACAGTAATGAGTTATAAGTTTAGGCTAGCTATTTGTTAGTTTTATTGTACAATTTATAAACAATTTACTATAAAAAATATAAAAAGTTGAAATTATTTTACCACTTTCCGTGAAGATCATTTTTTTCAATGACTGCACATGGATACAGTACATTGCCAATTGTAGAAATACTTGGATGTGAAATGTTTGCCTCGACTGATGGATCTGGAATTGTAGAAAATAATATTATAATAATTTATTATAAAGGCGTACAAAGGGCAAATATAATGCCTTTTTATATTATCTCCGAGTGAACCCACGACGTGAATGTGAAACAAAGTGATGGGTGCCAAAAATAAAAAGGACATTATTGTAAATGGGAAAAAATTAAAAAAGAAAATAAATATTCATCATAACAATACATATTTGAAGTACAATATAGATATAACATAACATAAAATTTTATACATGGTAGAGTCATGTTGCAGCTATTTATATATTATGGTTGTAGCACAAATGGTTCGGTTCGACAGAGTTGGACCACACTCTTAACAGAATTTCAGCATAAAATAGCAGTTTAATATTGCTGTTATGTAACGTGAGTGTAGAGAAACAAAGATCTTTTTACAGGAAACGACGCATTCCATTTTTATCCTTAGGGGTTACAAGGTATCTTCATTTGATTCTTTATCGAGGATAAATGTAGATGTCTATGGGCCACAGCACCCACTTACTATCTGGATTTCTATCATGCATTTAGGAAAGCTATTGAAATTTGTCCTTGATAAGGAGTGGATGTATCATTTTAGATAAAGAAGAGCACAAGCTAAATACTTGAGTCACGCCTTTTTTTTCAATGAGCCATTTATGTAAGGCAGAGTGATAGTGAGAAATATAATCATACTTACGAAGACTGAAAATGTATCTAATGCAATTGTTGAGAAGGCACTCTAGCTTGTTAAGAAGATTTATTAATGTATTTTGGTATGGGCAAAGTGAATTCTCCATGTCTACTAAATTCTATTTGACAGAATATAATGTTGACTGACTCCAGTATAAATGTTGAATAATTGTGTATGAAAATAATAAACTGATAGTGATGTCTATTAGATACAGTCATATTAAAAATTATGTGCTACATGCTCTACATGTTTGCATAACATAAAAACATAAATAGTCACGCCTGTCACCCAGAGGGGTAGGCAGAGACTACAGACTTTCATTTGACACAATCCTGACACACCTCTCTCGCCTCCTTCATATCCATATACCTACGCATACATGTTCGTCGGTTAAGGGTACTCTTAATTTGGCCCGTTATCAATACATCGCTAATTTGGTCGATAAAATCGCCTAGGACGTCCCTTTCCGACTCTGCCATTCACTTCTGCAACAATAATTTTCTTTGTCACTCTTTCCTCATTCATTCTTTCCACATGACCAAACCACCGAAGTATTCCTTTCTTAATCCTCGTCACATCATCTTGCAAACCACACTCTTCTCTTATCACACAATTTGTCGTTCAGATTCAGCCCTAACATACTCCTTAACGACCGCATTTCTACTGCGTTTATTCTACTCTCGTGCTTCTTCTTTTAAAATTTCGAGTTTAGGCTACCACAGACTTTAAATTAAATCATCTGCATGAAAAAATATCATAATTTCAGATTGAACTTTTCTATCTATACATACAGTAAAATAGTTATGAGTCCAACCTGTTCATCAACCAGCATATCTCATACCTCTCAAATCGAGCCAAGAAGGTTATTTACATAATGAAGTTGCTTAAGAACTGTGCTGATAAAAGGAAACTTCGTATTCGTATGGTTTATTTTGCCCTCTGCCTATCCATAATACAATATTGTATATCAGCTTGGGGTGGTGCCTCCAAAACTACTATGATGAACTTTTCGAGCAACGCCTTCCGCAGTTTTCACATCCTCATATTTATAACAAAATACTTAAAGTCTGTGACATCAAACATTGCACCACATTGAAAGCTAAATAAATAGTAAAAAGATATCTCACCACACTAAGTTATAATGATACCGAAAACTTAATTAAAGCAAAAATAATACCAAATTATATCTACGTTTTACACTAAAAATATTGTATTCATATTTTTTCTAGGAATAAAAAATAAATAATAATGCAAGCGACAAATAGTTAAAAATTATCTTCCTAAATTAAGAAATAATTTGTTGTTTTGTATAATTTGGGTACTTTTAACTACGTAAGTAAAACTGATAACCGTACTCCTGGTCCCCAAGATACAGGCTATGCCTAGTTTGGGGCCCGCCAGTTAATTCAATATAAGTTAAAATTAATTTAATATAAGTTAGTATTTTTTTTCCAATGTTCAGGTCTGTAGCTCTATTTCTAGGAATAAATGATTTTTTTTACTATTTTTTTGTTCAGCTTTTGTAAGGAGTTTTTAGGGTTCCATAGTAAAACAAGGCATCTTTATAGTTCTCTCCATATGTCTGTTTTTCACAGGAATCTTAAAATTATAATATAAGAGCTGTACAGTTAGAGAGGTAGTTGTTATTAGGGCTGGAAAGCATTCAGAGGAGACCATGCTCAGTTGTGGGCAGGCATTGGGATGACATAATGATGAGGAATTCTTAGTGCCTAACTAATAAAATTTCTACACACTGCTATGTAGTTATTTATATTATGTAGTACTGTCACTACATCACAAAATCTCTCTACGTGTACATACCACATAGTGTTGAAGCGCCTGTCAAATTATATTAGCAGTTCTAATGCCAATATTAGTTCGTAAGCCGTGTAGGTTTTATTATATTATAGCCGTTATGTTTTTAAAACAAAATACAGTTGTATCTGTCATCGTTTGTAAAAAATTAGAAATAAAAAGGTCGATTGAGCAAATTACTGCATTTTATTATTAAAAGGAGATCATATTCCTATTCATGGTCCTAAATCGAAGCCGGATTTGAAAAAACGTAATTGGACAAGATATTATTTAGTGGAATACGCTTGGGAAGTCTTAAATATTCATTGTGGAAATGCTACCGAGGGAGTGAAGATATTCAACCAAGAAATCTGGAGTCTTAGCCCTTTAGATATTGGACTATTATTTAATTTATTTAACACAGCACTCATTATCAGGTAGTATTTTGTGTAAATCGACTGCTAATTTATCAGGTTAGTACCAACCAAATTACTTACAAAATAATTACGTATAACTTTAAGTATTTAATCAGCTAAAATTCATTTAATATTGTTTTATATAGTTTCTAATAACTGTCAAATTATAATTAAATTAAATTATAAAGCTTAGTTAAATTATATTGACGATATTATAATTTTTTTCTTTATTGGGTTTAAACTATCAAATAAGTAAGGGAATTAGTTTTCATTTCTTTATAACTGTAAACAAAATTGTATAAAACTACTTATGAATTATATTTTATAAAATATAAACTTCTTGTTTGTATAATTTATCAGGCATTTGCACTAGTCTCCCAATCCCAGTCAACATGCCAGAAGATAATGAGCAAATTAGAAAACGAGCTAGCTACAAGGGACAAATAACTGCTTTTTCAAATTATTTAAATTCACTGAAGGTATCTTCATTGGCTGCTACTGAGGTAAATGAGTTGCAATTACGTATTGGTAGGATTGAGTCAATGTATGAACGATATGATGAGGTACAATTATCCATCGAGTGTAATACTGATAACATAGACGCCCAGATATCAGAACGAACTGAGTTTGAATCCCTTTATTTTAAATCGCTTTCTCTTGCGAAAAGAATCTTAGCAGATTGCATTAAGTCAGATGACGCAAACAGTGACGGTGGCTCTCATTCCGGCAATCATAAATTTGTTAAACTGCCCACTATTCAACTACCTAAATTTAATGGTTCTTATGATAATTGGTTAGAGTTTCATGACACGTTCATGAGCCTCATACATTCAAATGACGAGATAGATGACATAAATAAGTTTCACTATCTGAGAGCGTCGTTGGAAGGGTCCGCTGCTGTGGTAATACAGTCAATCGAATTCTCGGCAGCTAATTACACCGTCGCATGGACTATATTATGTGATAGATATGATAATGAAAGACTACTAATTCAAAATCATGTGACAGCCTTATTCAATATAGCACCAATTAATAAAGAATTGTCTGTCAACTCAAAACGTCTCATTGATCAAATAAATAAAAATTTACGTGCATTAGAATCCCTCGGTGAGCCAACTAAACATTGGGACACACTTCTCATTCATATTATTACTCAAAAATTAGATGCTAAGACATATCGTGAATGGGAAGAGTCTAAAGGTCGTTTGGAGAAAGATTTGATGTTTTTAAAAAATCGAGCCGATTTAATCGAAACACTAGAAATGTCTCATTCTGCTGCTACTAACTGTTTAAATTCTTCTATAAAATATGCTCCAAAAGTTAAGGCAATGCTTTCAGTTCGGGATACCGGTAATAAAAACGGTTCGGCTTTTTCCGCCAAACTGTGCTCTAAATTTAAGGGTGACCATAAGTTAAGCAGTTGTCCTCAGTTTCTTGGATTAAGTAACGATGCGCGTCTACAGTTACTGCCAGACTATAAAGTATGTTTCAATTGTCTTAATTCAGGACGTTATGCAAATCACTGCAAAAAGCCAGGATGCAAAATATGCCACCGAAAGCATAACACTCTCGTGCACGTCGCAGATTACCAGTCAAAACCAATTACAGATATTAATACATCTAACACGAGTAGTGGTGATAATAAGCCTGTTATGCAAGGTCATTTCGAACAAACAAACACTTCGACGGGCTTACAGTCGTCATCCAATTCTAAAGCACATTTGTCGTTGTCCGCAAAGGTAGGCACTGCATCGTGTAGTGAACGAGGCGACGTATTGTTATCGACGGCATTAATTAAAGTTATAGGTAAGAATGGTTGTCCATATATTGCTCGTGTTATTCTTGATAGTGGCAGTAACGCTTGTTTAATAACTGAAGAGTTATATCAAAGGCTAGGTTTGCCCGCTCTAAATGTAAGTCAGTCGGTAGTCGGTATTAATAATGCTTCGGCACACATCAAGAAGATTTGTAAGGTATCGATAAAATCATTGAATGATAACTTCTCTAGTAATCTTCATTGTTTTGTTCAGACTTTGTAATTTGTCAAACTTAAAAATTCCATGTAATATTTCTCTGGCAGATCCTAATTTTCACTCACCTGCTCCCGTTGACATGCTTATAGGTGCTGACGTCTTTTGGGGCTTAATAGGAACGCAGAGATTAAAATTAGGTGACGGTCAGCCGATTCTTTGTGAGACTAGCTTAGGATGGTTAGTATCAGATCCGATTGATTATAGATATGTAAAGAAAGGGGGTCAACTCTATTAAATGTAATTTTACAAGAATCTTTCAAGATGAGGCTAGTAAAGATTTAGATGAAGATATACAAAAACAGTTAGTACGCTTCTGGCACCTTGAAGAGGTAAGCCCTGCGCCTCATTATTCAAACGAAGAGAAATTATGCGAAGAACACTTTTAAAAAACACCACGCGACTGGCAAATGGTCGATTTTGCCTGAGGATACCCTTAAAACGTAATCCTGACGTATTAGGTGATTCTTGGCCACGAGCTAAGAAGTGTTTACTATCGCTAGAGCGCAGGTATGAAAGTCATGGTCAGGTCAGGCAGGTCAGAGTATGAAAGTCTGGGTCATATGGAGAAATGTGAGAATGATAATTTACCACGAAAGATGCATTTTATACCACATCATGGTGTGCTGCGGGAAAGTAGTACTACTACTAAATTAAGAGTCGTTTTCAATGCTAGCAGTCCGACTTCTTCTGGTGTTTCATTGAATAATATACAGATGGTAGGTCCCGTGGTACAGGACGACCTTTTGTCCATTCTTTTACGCTTTCGGCTGCACAAAATACGTTCTCACAGGTGATGTTGAGAAAATGTACCGGCGAATAGTCATTCATCCCGATGATCGCTATTTGCAACAAATTGTCTGGCGTGATAACCCTTCAGAACAGCTTCAAGCTTATCAACTTAACACTGTGACTTACGGCACCTCTAGTGCTCCCTTTTTGGCAACTAGGTGCCTCCAACAATTAGGCTTAGAGTGTACCGATGGCAAGGTTGCTCAAGTGATCATTCACGATTTTTACGTTGATGACTTGCTAACGGGAGGAGATGATATTAACGAGGTTACAGATTTGCGCCGTAAAGTGACTTCCACACTTGCATCAGCTCATATGGTTTTGCGAAAGTGGAAGTCGAATGAATCTCAACTGGTTAGTGAAAATGATATTTCTTCGCTTGATCCGACTAAAACTTTAGGCCTTGGTTGGCAGTCACATACTGACCAACTTTGTTTCCCTATAGGAGGGCTATTCGCAGGTAAAACAAAGCGTGATATGTTATCTGTGATTTCACAGATTTTTGATCCACTAGGACTTCTATCTCCCTGTGTAATTAAGATGAAGATGCTTCTTCAACAGTTGTGGCTGCTCAAGCTGTCGTGGGATGAGCAGTTGACGCCAGAAATCAGCAAGATGTGGGCTGAGATAATATAGTCGATTTACCTAAATTAAATACTCTACGTATTCCACGTCGTATTATTTGTGACTCGCCCAGTTTGTTAGAATTTCATATTTTCTCAGACGCTTCTGAGCGTGCATATGGCGCCTGTTTATATGTTCGTAGCTTAATGGTCAGGGTGAGGTTTTAATTCAATTATTGATGGCGAAAAGTCGTGTCGCGCCGCTTAAACCTATAACAATCCCAGGACTGGAACTTTGTGGTGCACTTGTTGGAGCTCGCCTTTACCAAAAGGTTGTAGCATCGCTGAGACAAAAAGCTAAGCGCATTTTCTTTTAGACAGATTCGTCCATCGTGTTAGGATGGTTAAAGGTTACCTAGCAAGCTACAACCCTTTGTTAGAAATAGGGTTGCTGAAATATTAGAGAATACTGGAAATTGCGAGTGGAGGCATGTCCCAACAGAGTGTAATCCAGCCGATCATATTTCTCGCGGTGTGAGTTGTAAGGATATTTCATCCATGAGTAAGTGGTGGTCAGGACCTGAATTTTTAAAGAAAAAGGTCTCTCACTGGCCTGCAAATTTCTTAAGTATTAATCACGAGTTGCCTGAGATTAAATCGTCAAATGTTATCCTCCACGGAATACTTCATTCTAACAACAATGATGATTTAGGCGGTAATAAATCAATTGAATTTAAACGCTTTCTAAATATACTGGATTAAATCGGGCCGTTGCTTACGTGCTGCGTTTTATTAATAATTGTAGAAAGCAATCCGTTCACGGTCCTCTTAGCAATCAAGAGTTGCAAACCGCACTCAATGTTATTATAAGCATATCTCAGAGTGAATCATTTGAGGAGTACACCATGTTAATTAAAAATAAAAGCTTACCCACTAAAAGTCCGTTACATAAATTTAATGTATTTCTCGATGATAATAAAATAATGCGTGTTGGAGGGCGTCTTGAAAATTCCGATTACTGTTATGAGAAAAAACATCCCATACTTATACAGTCCACTCATTATTTTACCAAATTGCTCTTCAATTATGAGCACATAAGGTTAATGCACGCAGGACCACAGCTAATGTTGGCCACTATAAGAGAGATGTACTGGCCGATTAGAGGTCGTAATTTGGCTAGGTCTTGTTATCGACAATGTGTAAGATGCAATAGAATGAAAGGAAAAACAATCTCTCCAATAATGGGCAACCTACCACACCAACGCATCCTTTCTGGTTTTCCATTTCAGACTATTGGACTAGACTATGCGGGACCAATTCAATCTGTTTCTCGCCATGGCCGTGGTTGTAAAATTGTAAAGGTGTATATAGCTATTTTATTTGCTTCGCGACTAAGTCAATTCATCTTGAATTAGTGGGTGATTTAACTAGCAATACCTTCATATTAGCTTTGCGCAGATTTATGTCAAGAAGAAGTAAACCTCTTAATATTTATTCGGATAATGGTACCTCCTTTGTAGGCGCATACAATGACATTTCAAAATTTATTAAGACGTATTGTAATTCTTTATCTGAGGTAATGGCAAATGAAGGAATTAATTTCCATTTTATACCGCCTTATTCTGCCCATTTTGCTGGGCTTGCGGAGGCTGGTGTCAAATGCATTAAATATCATTTAGTTAGAGTGCTGGGCAATTGTAATTTGACTTACGAGGAACTAAATACCACATTAATACAAATTGAGGCTATACTTAACTCCAGACCACTCACACCTTTGTCAACGAATCCTGAAGACTTGCTACCACTAACGCCCGGTCATTTTTTGATTGGACGCCCCTTGACTTCCTTGCCGACACCAGACTATAAAGATCATTCTATATAGCCGTTATGTTTTTAAAACAAAATACAGTTGTATCTGTCATCGTTTGTAAAAAATTAGAAATAAAAAGGTCGATTGAGCAAATTACTGCGTTTTATTATTAAAAGGAGATCATATTCCTATTCACATAGTATATGCCAAAAACTTTGTGTGAATTCAGGTTTTTAAAAATTGTCATGGCAACTCTTTGAATTTTCAGACTAAAAAGTAACCTATATATCCTGGAAGCAAGCTATCTATGTACGAAATTTCGACAAAATAGGTTAAGCACTTTTTATAACATTATTAAATTAATATGGATTTTACCTGTTGATGTTGATGGTTTTAGAATATTATCATCATAAGTCTGGATGAGATTCATAGGTTTTCTTTCACTAAAAGTGTAGTTTGGAAGGGTCAATGGTCCTGGAATTGAAATTAATACAAGTTCAAATAAAAGACAAATTTTAAGAACCTGCAACTAACAGCAGAGCTCCCTGGTGTGGTGGCCTATTAACCTAAAATTATATCTGAATATAATAATATAAAGAAACTGTTCTGAGGTGACACAGGCAATACCTTTGTAGCATTTTTATACAATATATATTCAAAATTGCAGAAACATTGCAGCATAAAGTTAAAGAGTTGGTGTCTGAAGTATAGTGACAGAGTTTATGCCTGTCAACCTCTCCTCATATAGAATGAAGAAGATCCTCTGTCCTCAATACTTTTTAGGGCAGTTTAACAGCAGCATTGGTTGAGCAGTTGGAACCAATTGTTTACATTTATATTATATCTTCATGGTAACTAAATCTCCTTGTGGTCTATAACTATAAAACATAATATCTAAGAACCTACCTAAACATAATATGGATAGTTATAATGCAATAACTACATCAAAACCATCCAAGTAGTTTTTCAGAAAAATGGTAACAAAAGTTAACACACAAACAAACTCACAACCAGTAATGGCAAACACGTTTTTAAAATATAGTGTATGGGTATGAGCAGTGGCGAAGCTAGAGCTCCAAGCTAGGGCACGCCCAAGATTTAAATTGATAAAAATATAGATTGTTGTTTTTAGCAGTTTTAAAGTACACCAATCTTGATCTGTCTCCACGCTTCAGTTTCATATTCAGTGCTGTCAAGGACGTGTTTAACAAAGCACACAGAAGGCATACCACTGCTAGATAGATTGTATTACATATCAGCAATTGCATAGCTTCGGTGGCTTTGAAGAAAGCCGTTTGGGTTTGTTTAAGCGAAAGAAAAAATATATTTACATCCAATACAATACATGAACAAAAGTAAAACACCAACAAAGTACAAACAATGTACAAAATTAAAAAAAATATTTACTTTCTAATGGATAAGAGATAAGATAAGATAAGTGGAATGGTCTCGCTTTCTTATGGAAAGATTTAATTACGTCCACGTAAAATGTTGGTGAACGTTTTAATTGTACCAATACTGTTTTTAATTGCGATAATTGATAAGTCTGAAATACACTTTTAACCTTCCTGCGGGCTATTATAGCTAACTAGCTATGGAAAGTAAATACCTATTTAGAATACATAGTACCTACAGTAATATTTGCATAACCTACAGTAAAATACAAAAACATACAAAAACATAATTATGTTACACTTTTTTGTGTTTGTTTTAGAAATTGTTACATTTTTTTTCAAAAAAAAGTTTTTTTATGTTACCGTTTTTAGTTTAGAGTTATGTCCCTTTAGTGGGTACAGGCGTGATATTATATTGTGTGATTGCGTAAAGAATGCATAGATAGGCGATAGCAGCAATCGCGGTTGATTTGCTGTCATTTATTGAAGAGTGCCCCCGATTTCTCCAAGATCCCATCATCAGATCCTGATCTGATCGATCATCGTCGATTACCGTGGGATTATCTGGAAAATATATCCAAATCGGTTCAGGCATATTCGAGAAATCGGGGGACAGAACATACATAAACAAAAACCAACGAATTGAGAACCACCTCCTTTTTTTCGAAGTCGGTTAAAAAGTAGGTAAAAACAAATCAATGGAATTATTATATAATAACAACATCTACTTAAGTTCACATAAGAACCTTAAGGTTGCCCTAGTCGATGGCACGAACTAAGTGGTGGGCGGGGCAAAAATGCATGCTATCTCAGCCGACATCTCGTGCGAAAGGGATAGACGCTGTGATGAGCAGTAAGAAGCTAGTGCGCACACACATACGCACTCGAGTGACACAATGCGCGACGGCATCATCGCGTACCTAGGTACCTATGCGATTTATTTTAGAATAATAACATAAACTCAAACGGCAATTGTGAACTTCGTGCCGCAATAGTTTAGCAATGAGTAGCTGCGCTGAGTGCCGCGGGTTCGAATCCCCCACGGAACAAATATTTTGTATGGACTACAAATAGTTGTTCCGGGTCTGGATGTTTGTTCTTATGCAATTTACATTTGTAAACTGCCTCCACGATACTGGAGAAAATCGGTGATAACGTATTTTAAAAAGAGAAAGGAGAGAGAAAGCAAATTGGTGTTATTGTAACTTAGAATCTGCTGTGTGAAACGTAATTATTATGAGCCCAATTTATGTACTTAGTTGTTATGATGAAAGTTCTTATGTGAACTTAAGTAGATGTTGTTATTATATAATAATTCCATTGATTTGTTTTTACCTACTTTTTAACCGACTTCGAAAAAAGGAGGTGGTTCTCAATTCGTTGGTTTTTGTTTATGTATGTTCTGTCCCCCGATTTCTCGAATATGCCTGAACCGATTTGGATATATTTTCCAGATAATCCCACGGTAATCGACGATGATCGATCAGATCAGGATCTGATGATGGGATCTTGGAGAAATCGGGGGGCACTCTTCAATAAATGACAGCAAATCAACCGCGATTGCTGCTATCGCCTATCTATGCATTCTTTACGCAATCACACAATATAATATCACGCCTGTACCCACTAAAGGGACATAACTCTAAACTAAAAACGGTAACATAAAAAACTTTTTTTTGAAAAAAAATATAACAATTTCTAAAACAAACACAAAAAAGTGTAACATAATTATGTTTTCTGTATGTTTTTGTATTTTACTGTAGGTTATGCAAATATTACTGTAGGTACTATGTATTCTAAATAGGTATTTACTTTCCATAGCTAGTTAGCTATAATAGCCCGCAGGCAACTCCCCGACCCCGAAGTATATGTCAGCCAGTGTCAGGATAACTGCTTTTTCGACAGCGCGATTTTGATGTGAGTGTGGCTTTTATATAGGTAAATTAAATAAAAAAAATGTTAGTTTGTAAATTGTTTATTGATTGTTTGTGTTCAACAGCGGTTTGAAATATTCTCTTAGTACTTAGAAAGTTATTAACAACAGGCATTGTGTCACTGCAGGGACAAGCACAAACGTCTATCAAAATAGTAACGTACCTAAACGGAATAGAACTAACAGCACAGACTTCCTTACAAAAGTCCAAAGAACACGTCTAGGCAAGGTAAGTAATTAGAAGAAAACTACAATTTAGAGATCGATTGTAAATCAAATTCACAGTACAGACACAATTAGCGAAATATGAATAAAATTTTTATTTATTTTATGATAGATAACTCTAGTTGAAAACTAAACACTGTATGGGAATGGTATCACTGAACGAGTCAGGTGATCAGTCCAAACAAATAAAAGGCGCGATTGTAGAAAGAAATTCGTTACTTGGTCGGGGCTTGACCTGTTTATGCTATTCATAACGAAGGCTATAAATATGTAGGTATAACTTAGAAACTAAATCCTATGTGTACTTATCTGTATTCATAACCCAATATCTAAGGTAGGTTATTCTGTAATAAAAGTAAAGTAAAGTTACAGCCTATATACGTCGCACTGCTGGGCACAGGCCTCCCCTCATTTCTGAGAAGGTTTAGGGCAGGGAAGTGTCCGCCGCGCTGCCCAAATGCGTGTTGACGAACTTAACATGTCTTCGAAATATTTTTTTCTTATTCCTCAGACATGCAGGTTTCCTCACGATGTTTTACTTCACTGCCGAGCACGTGGTAAATCAGCACTTAAAATTGCAATTAACAATTTCATTGGTGCCGGCGGGGATCGAACCCGGGTTACTCGCGTTCTGTTATATTTACAGCGAGCGTTAACCACTGAGCTACCACGGCTCTGTAATAAATTAAATCTAATCCAAAATATAGGTACTATAATACCATAGCAAAGCTACTACTATTTTTTTAGTAGTAGCTTATATAGTAGTATAGTAAATTATATATAAAAAATATGAGTATGTCTGAGCTAAAGTTAAATATAAACAAATATTTTGCCAAGTGCGAATCGGACTTCCGAGCTTCCGAGATTACAAGATTTAAATACCTATACATATTACTATCGATCAAAAAAGCCAAAAATACACGTTTCTTTTTCTAGTAGAAAATCCTTTAATTTCAACAATAGGTATATTAGGATATGAGATTCCTATACGTAAGCACGATTATCGAAAATCAAAAAATTACCTATTCTAATTCAATTAATAGATAATTTTAAGATTTTCGATAATCGTGCTTATCTATGAGATGTTTTCGTTAGTTAGCAAATTAAAGTAGTTAAGTACCTAATGTACTATCTGTATCGAAAGTTCATTATTATGTACCAACTGTCTTCAATTTTAACTAAATGTGCTTCAACAAACTTATGGGTACATTTTAGCAGCTATATTCATCCCGGCTTCAGCAAGTGGACACGTACAAAAAGGAAGCAATTTTTCTAAATAAAGATGTAGATATGTAGGTATTACAACCATAAATAGATAGCAGCGGCTAACCTAGTGAGCATGTGTGAGTGCGCGCTGTGCCCCCCCTCCGTCCGTCCCACTGATCGGGGAAATAATTTGTAGCGAAAGGCAAGATGTTTTATAACAAAAACGGGCGCGCGAAATTTTATAAACAGACTTTTGGTAGTCTGGATGTCACGAAAAATCTATTGAATGTATCTGTTTAAAATAAAATTATTTGCATTTTTGAACAACTAATCTATCCCTGTATGGTAACTGTTTTGCAATTTTCGTTCTTCTTATGGTATTTATTTCCGACCAAAGATGTGTTAAAAATAGTGTTGAAATTCGGAATTTTCGACGCTTATAACTTTTAAATATACTCTTTTTTTACTTTTTTGTTTCTATACAGGGCTAGATAATGATGAGACAAATTGATTGAATTTTATTTTGAACGTACACCATCAAACAGTGTAGTTATGGCCGGACTACGTTTGTATGGAAGAATAAGCGACTAGTGTACCCTTAACTAGTAAATTTGAATTATTGAACCGACCCATTAAATGTGACGTAAATAGAATTGACGTAATCATTCAAGCTATTTGTGTACTTCATAACTTCATCCGAAAGCATGATGGTGTTAGATCTTCTCCAACTACGGCCAACTTAATGACAAGAAGTATCAATGAATCTTCACGTCTAAACACAGCTAAACTAGTTAGAAATCATCTGACGAAATACTTCGTTGAATGCGCTCCAATACCAAGTCAATATTTATATTGTACTGATTGAACCACTCTGGCTTCGCACGGGTATTGTGGAGTAAATTATACACCATTTCTGAATTCGATAATAGCTCCTGCCGGTTGAAACTATATCTTGACAATGTTTTACCACAATCAGATGAACGGTATCGCAGTGCGTAATATATGAACAAACAAACAAACAAATATTGATTTTTATATGTGATATGATAAACGAGACTATTAAAAACAAAACCTAGTTAAAGCATTTTTATTCGTACCTACTCAAATTAGAATAATGAAACCACAAAATATAGTCCGTGTATGAAACATTATTGTTATTATTGTATGTTGGTGTAGGTACTTACCCGATTCTTCGACAATTTTCGCTATTTCTAGCCAAGACGCATCTTGCGCGTTCCTGTTACTGTAATCGGGTCTAGTGTATTCATATAAACGTGGTCTTTCATGAACTAACTCAACGAATTTAATATTAAAAGCTAAGTCGTCTTTCATTTTGCTTAGAAAAGTTACTACAAGTTTCGTGTTACGCGCCACTTCGATGCGTCACTAGCACTAGTAGCAAGCTGAATGGCACGTGACGTCATGCGGCGTCACGCCACGCAGTGTTGCCAACAGCGCTGGCCCTAATGTCGCCGTTTCTCATGCTTGAAGTAGCCTAATATCGCCGAATTTCAGTTGTAGTAGCCTAAAGTAGTCCAAACACCAACATATCAATATGTTATATAATATGTTCATAACACACTGATAAATAGGCATAAGTCATCTTTGAAACACGTTAATGAAATTAAAGTTAACATTTTAAAAACTACATAAACAAATAAACAAAAATTAGGATTATTCTGATTCGTCCTCTGCTAGCAATATGCCATGTACTTTTCTGTTGTTACGTCAGTGGATTCATCCAGTATAATAGAGTAGCTCTGGTTACCAACTTCTTTTAAAAGTTCCTTGAGCATGGCTGGTTCTAGAACATTTTTTATAATGGCCGAACACTTTGATCTATGTAATTGAATGTTTTCAAGAGGACTCCCTGTCCCACACGTTTTTAACACATCTGTCAGATGATCAATGCTGCGTATGGAGATGTGAGCAGCGACATAGGCAGATATTTGTATGTGTATTATTTTTTCTTTTGATGAACTGTTACTAATTGAGGAGTAGCCAAATGATGCAAGCTTGGGTTGCTTTTTTGAAAAACCTAATTCTTTGTCTTTATGTGTTTTAGTTTTCATGTGCTTTTCTAAATCCGTTTTGTACGCACGGAGTGGTATGATACATAATTTACAAAATGCCTCACCTTTACCACTATCTGTCAGTACAATAGGTGCTCGTCTAAGCCAATCTGTAAAAGGAATTGAACTAAATAATACACTAGGCAGTAGGTACGCATATATTGTATGTACCAGGTAGGTATGGTACTAGTGGTTGATAACCAGATCATATTTCATGCTATTTGTGCAGTTTCAGTCTACCTAATACATCTTAACTAGACTGGGTAAATATTTAAAAAATGATTGTGAAACTAAAAACCACGACTTCTAATTTAGTCTGGAATACAGGTCTGGAAGTAGTAAGACCATGTAACAGATAATATACACAAAAAATTAATATAAAACGGTACTTTAGTTTTTACTTACTTTTAAATGCTGGCAGTTTTTCCCATTCATCACGATAATGCTTGATATATTTACCATGTTTACCCATTTTACAAAACAAGCACAGGAGAAGTTGTACAAAGCGAAAGTTACCAAGGAATAACCGGAATTTATCTGAACTATTTAGTCAGTACAACACAGATAATTGCGGTAGTCATTATTCATAATAGAATACATGTAAACCTATTGCATTCAATTAAATTGGGTTACATAATAGCTAAGACAAATTCAGTGTATTCCCCGAAAATAACCAATCACAAACAGTGTGACCATCTCAATATCAAATTGTACCAACATTACACACACGCACGGCAGTATGCCTGTTTACATACTAGGTAGTATAAAAAAACTTGTCCCTAGAGTAGCCTGAAAGCGAAAGTGACCAAGGTATAACCGGAATTTATCTGAACTATTTAGTCAGTGCAACACAGATAATTGCGGTAGTCATTATTCATAAAAGAATACATGTAAACCTATTGCATTCTAAATTTGGTTACACAATAGCTAAGACAAATTCAGGGTATTCCCCGAAAATATCCAATCACAAACAGGGTGACCATCTCAATATCAAATTGTACCAACATTACACACACGCACGGCCGTATGCCTGTTTACATACTAGGTAGTATAAAAAAACTTGTCCTTACAGTAGCCTAATTGGCGACCAGTCGCCTTTTAGATTTTTTCGTCGCCGATTCTCGTTCTGAGTAGCCTAAATGGCGAAAAATCGCCTACGTTGGCAACACTGACGCCACGCTAATGGCTAATCACTAATGGGCGCTGCTACATACAATACCTTTGAATGTTGAGGCGAGTGACAAGTTGCGCGTCAAATCACGCGTCACTGTCAGATTACGCGTTACGTTACATAGGTGGGCGCCGCGTTTTATATTATAAACAATATATACACATAATAAACTTGACTTATGATTCTTATCTCACAAATATCACTGTTATTATATAAACCGAAGGAACAAAAGCTCTACTCAACGATAAATTCACAGATGAAAATCTTAGATTTAATAATAATCAAAAAATACTAAATACACCATGCAAGCACAAGAATCTTTAGTATATACACAGCAATCTATACACAAGAATGGGTGCGTTTAGCAGAAAAAAGCGCTAGCAAGCGCTTGTAAGCAAAATGGCGAAACTAAACAGTTTTCGGCCAGGACACGTTTGCTAACTTCAGTAGCGCTGACACAATCCGCCATTTTGCTTATTTACTTTGTTTTGAAGTAGAGTTTATAAGTTGTTTTGTGCAATATTAGTTTTATGTAATATAATGACATGAATAGACATATACATGTTATTAAAAATTCATGATTGGTAAGTTTTTAATATGAATACTTTACAAATATATATTCAAATTAGGATAGGTTCCCCGGTTAAAAATAACTTGGTGTCCTAGAGGAAAATAGCTACTAAATAATTACGATTTGACAGCGCTTACCGCTTACGATCGCCATTTTGCTTACAAGCGCTTGCTAGCGCTTTTTTTCTGCCAAACGCATCTAATATCAGTAACAGACATTTTTGAAATTTTGTTGATTTTCCAAAAAATACTACATTATAGTGCTACCAGTATGGATTTTGCATTAACAGTACAAATAAATAATTAAATTCAAATTAAAAGATTTTTAAATTCATAATAAAAGATTCAAAAACCTTTCAAACCCTTTAAATTTTATTCCGACCAAAACAAATTTAATTACATTTAATATTCACTAAACGTTAAGTTGGAGAGGTCTCGTCTAATGAAGTCAACGCTCCGTCCCCCTCGTGCTCTAATCCAGAATCCCGAAACCTTTCAGCTCGAGTTACGTAACCGCTTCCAGTGCCTAGAAGATTGCAATGCAGTGGACGATATGAACGACAAGCTCGTGGAAACTGTCCATGCGGTCGGAGCTAAGTTCTGCAAGACCCGCCGCAGAAGAACACAAAAACTCTCCGATCACACTCTTAATCTCATGGCTGTTAGACGGGAGATGAGGCTGCAATCGTCAACAGATTTGACAGCATACAGGCAACTGAACAGACAGATCTCCAAATGCATACGGCGAGACTTACGCAACTTTAATACTTCTCGTATTAAAGAAGCGATCGAGCGGAACCAGGGCTCCAAAGTCTTTGCCAGAGATCTGTCTGCCAGAAAGAGCCAACTGTCAAGGCTGAAGACTGAGTGTGGCAACATCGTTTCCGGGACACCTGAGATTTTGAGTGAGATTGAGAGGTTCTATGGGCAGCTGTACACATCATCGTTGGAGCCACACGCAAGTGTGAGTAACGATCCAAGAGCAAATCTTATCCGACACTATTCCGATGATATCCCGGACGTCAGTCTAAGCGAGATTAGAATGGCTCTCCAGCACCTTAAAAACGGCAGGGCCCCAGGCGAGGATGGAATTACAGCGGAGCTTCTGAAAGCGGGTGGAACACCGGTACTTGAAGTCCTTCAGAAGCTCTTCAATTCCGTCCTCCATGGTGGCACTACTCCAGAGGCGTGGAGCAGAAGTGCGGTGGTCTTGTTCTTTAAGAAAGGCGACAACGCTCTCTTAAAGAACTACAGACCGATTTCCCTTCTGAGCCGCGTCTACGTGCTGTTTTCGAGAGTCATTACGAATCGTCTCGCACGCAGACTTGACGACTTCCAGCCTCCCGAACAAGCCGGTTTCCGAAAAGGCTTCAGTACCATAGACCACATACATACCCTGCGGCAGATTGTACAGAAGACTGAAGAGTACAATCTGCCACTTTGCCTGGCGTATGTGGACTATGAGAAAGCCTTTGATTCCGTCGAAATTTGGGCGGTGCTACAGTCCCTTCAGCGGTGCCAAGTTGACTGTCGGTATATCGAAGTGCTGAAGTGTTTGTACAGTAGGGCTACGATGGCTATCCGAGTACAGAACCAGAGCTCGAAACCTATCCAACTGCAGAGAGGTGTAAGACAGGGTGACGTTATATCCCCGAAACTCTTCACCGCTGCATTGGAAGACGTTTTCAAGCTACTGGACTGGAAAGGATACGGTATTGACATCAATGGCGAGTACATCACTCACCTTCGATTTGCCGACGATATAGTCCTTATGGCAGAATCGCTGGAGGACTTAAGCACTATGCTCAATGACCTCAATAGTGCCTCCCAACGGATAGGTCTTAAGATGAACATGGACAAAACAAAGATCATGTTCAATGTCCATGTCACACCTATGCCGGTAGTTGTTGGGAGCACTATGCTCGAAGTTGTTGACGAATACGTTTACCTGGGACAAATAGTCCGACTAGGTAAGTCCAACTTCGACCGAGAGGTCAATCGACGGATTCAACTCGGCTGGGCAGCGTTCGGGAAATTACGGCATATCTTTTCGTCAGGTATACCTCAATCTCTAAAAACTAGATTGTACAACCAGTGCGTGTTGCCAGTGATGACTTACGGATCTGAGACGTGGTCCTTCACTGCTGGCCGTATGAGGACGCTTAAGGTCGCTCAGCGAGCTATGGAGAGGGCTATGCTCGGAGTTTCTCTGCGTGATAGACTCAGAAATGAGGATATCCGCAGTAAAACCAGAGTGACCGACATAGCCCAACGGATTAGTAAGCTGAAGTGGCAATGGGCCGGCCATATAGCTCGAAGAACCGATAACCGATGGGGAAGAAAGGTTCTCGAGTGGCAGCCTCGTACCGGTAGGCGTAGTGTAGGGCGACCCCCCACTAGATGGAGTGACGACCTGGTAAGACATGCAGGAAGTCGATGGATGCAGGTGGCTCAGGACCGTGCTTTGTGGCATTACTTGGGGGAGGCCTATGTTCAGCAGTGGACTTGTGAAGGGCTGT